CCCAGATTGTCTGGCCATTTTTGACCTGTTTTGTGACTTGGATCGTGGTCCTTGTGGTGACCTGCTCCTGTTTCTATGACCCATTTGAATTCTGGCGACAGCCTCAGTGAGACTCGTAACACTCGCGATGAGTCCTTCTATGACCGGGTCTTTTGCTGATTCTACTTTTTGTGTGTGATTTATTGTGCCTGATCCAGTTGGAGGACCTCTTTCGATTATTCTATCGGCTATACGCGCTAAATGAGATGATGAGGTTTCAGGATCTTGTGCATCCAATCAGTGCTGGACGTAGCATGGGAGAGCTTGTTTTAGGACTACTTCACCCACTGAGTTATCACCCACCAAGTCTTGAAGGTGATGTAAAAACTGTGACGGCGACCTATCCCCTAGTTTTTCTCCTTGGAAAAGTCTTTGGATTCTTTGACTGTCTGATAATGATAAACGGTTCATTATCTCTCGTCTTAAGATGGTACGTGGTTGTGGTGATGGTGGATTTAAAATCAAGTCACAGACTTCTTTGGCGACTGAAGGAGGAAGGATATAACACAAATCTGTATAGCGAATCCCTTCAGATTTGATATTGTGTCTCGTGAAATAATGCTCTAGTTGAGCAAACCACAACTCAGGATCACTACGATCAAATTCTGGAAGTCGGGATTTCGTAGTCATAACAGTGTCTATCTCCACTGGTGACAAATCCTCCAGATTATGGGTTTCTATTGAGTCTGACATGAGGTATGTGACAAGTATAGCGATAAAATAAGCACGAAAAATGGTTACTATAACATGAATAACTTAAGATTATAAAAATGAACTATTTATATACCCAACTTAGTTTACGGATAATCAGGTCTACTTTTACGATTAAGTAAAAAAATAATGTTAATGACAGAAATGAGGTTAAATTTGTGATCAAAAGTGCTCACCAGTTTCATGCCTTAAGGTAACCCCCGTGCTATCCATAGATAAAACCAGACAAGTAGTGAATAGTTCTTTATTTCGATCGTAGCGCAGTCACAGTGGAGCGTGGGGTTATTTAATTAGACAAACAAAGCCTCTCAACATTCAATATTAGATATTAGGAAATATAACGCCTATACAAAATAAGGAAGTGAATAAATACTTGAACTACACTGTTTTGGCATATGTTTGTTTGTTTGTTTGAGATCAACTCTTAACCAACCAACCTAAGCTGTTACACGATCACCACCTCACTTGCGCGCGTCTAATTGATGTGCGTTGGTTATCTTTGAACTTGACGAGAATCAGTGGACTGTTATAAACCTGTCTGACCTAGTGACACGTCACTGGCCCTACACGTTTTGTGTAATTGCACGTTTCACTTTCATTTTCTCTTATTTCCTGACGGAGTGTCCACTGTGGTGGACCAGATGGATATGAACGCGAAAAGTATAAACAAAGTTACTAAAGATCAATAGTAATATTAATATATACAGTTAATTGTTACAAATACAATAAAAATTTAGGACGTTACTTAAATTGACCAAATGTTGCGTGTTCTGATTGGGTCCGGTAATGTAAATCCACAATTATAAATGCTTGGTGATTCTGAGCAGGTTGACGAACTGTTCAGTGACATAATCCAACGTAGAATGTGATATATTCCAATTACAGTCTATAAATAATGATGGTATATAATTTAGACTTCAGTTAACTCAATCACAAACGAAGATAGAACGAGGAATGTGTGAGTAGTAGTGTATTGGTTAGCCAGCAAGAGCATGTCACGCCATGTCAGTATCATAAAGGAAAAATATGTTCAAGGTCATTTACTAAAACAACAGTTACAGTCATTTAATGTTAAATATACATACAGTGGAAGGTTGACAGAATAAATACAAATAACATTGAAAACTATTTACAACATAAGCTTGTCAGGCCTATCTCCACATAGCTCCCTCCAGAGTGTCCGGAGGTAACACCGGTTATAATAACAAAAAATGTAAGGATATGATATATACATGAATACAAAAATAATATTTACAGTAATAACTAACAAATAATGTGGAGATGCGTATGACATGTAGCAGAGACGTAGCATAGCATAAAAAACACAAAAAAAATGAAGACAGTCATTTAATGTCTTGGTCGGTTAACAATGATAATAATAATGTGCAAAACTGCTAATGACCCAAAAAAAGAACTGTTTATTTTATTTTTTTGTACGATAAATGGGTAATTAAATAGACTTTACTCGTTTATTATGGTAACAAAAAATTTTTTTATAAAAAAAATAAATGTGACAAAACGAATAATTGTGGAAAAATGCGACTATGTACACTGTGAAAAGGAAGAAAAAGTTTTGGGTGAAATTAGTAGTGTGTGACATAGGTGGGTGTGTGCTTTGTTTTTTTTAATCGACGAAATGGACATAACGCTTGGGTTTGTTTGTAGGTCTACCGGAACGTGTTAAACAAGGAGGCTTAGTGTTAAGTTTTTTATCCTCCACTGGTTTTTCAGTCACTGGTGAGAGGGGTTGCTTGTCAACAGCGTTGTCTTCTTTGACTTGAGTAGCTTCATAGAAAGCAGGTTTTATTCTGTCTATAGAAATAGTCTGCTTGTTGCCATCTCTGTTGATGATGAAGTATTTTTGTGTGCGTTTAATTACTTTATATGGACCTTCGTATGGTTGTTTCAATGGTTTTTTAACCACATCTACTCAGAAGAAGACAAATTTGCACGTTTCAAGGTTTTTATCAAGTTGGACTCGATAGTTGTGTTCGCGAGGGGATATTGCTTTCATATTCTGCATCGTTTGTAATGGGCGACTTGTGAAGTGAGTAGAATCCCCGTGCGTTGTAGGTTCATAGTTGACTAGCTGACCAGGTAACGTTAGAGTTGTATCATAGACTAACTCGGCGGCTGTACATCCAATGTCTCCCTTTATGGTTGAACGAATACCGAGGAGTACAAGGGGTAAGGTATCGCTCCACTTTGATGAGTCAGCTTGCGCCATCAGTGAGCTTTTTAATTGGCGATGGAATCTTTCAACCATGCCATTAGCTGCTGTCTGGTAAGCTGTGGTTTTAATGTGGTTGACCCCTAGAAGTTTAGTGAACTCCTGAAAAAGGACAGATTGAAATTGGGGACCACGATCTGTTGTGATTATTGATGGTACTTCATAGTTAGATATTCAGCGGTCGAGGAAGACTGAAGCTACTGTTTCTGAAAAGAGCAAGAACAAAGATTCTAGCAGAATAGCATGAACTTATTTTATTTCGTAGGTTCTCGTCAGCTGCTTACAACCTGTGGTATTTAAAAATCATAATTACATAATGGGTTTAAATTGCTAACTGAATATTGTCCTGGTGACAATTATTCCTTCACTACACCATAAAAAATTTCATTTTTATTTTTTATTTTTTCTCTTTTGCATTTATTACATCATTGACTCTGTTTTATTATTTTTTCTACTATCTTTCAAATTAATAATCTTTCAACTGAACTCTACTCACTACAAGGAATGTTAACGTAAAGGTATTCTCTTTTTTGGTCTGAGCTGCGGTTTTATCCGTCTTCAGTGAATCCATCAAAGGTTGCAAAATGGCCGCACAGCTGGAGAGAAAACGTCGGTAAAAATTGCACATTCTCAGGAACCGGCGTAATGCTTTTATCGACTTGGGCTCAGGAAAGTTGACAATGGCTTCGACTTTTTTTCAAACGGTTTAATTCCTTGGGAATCAATGTAATGTCCCAGGAACTCCAGACCAGAGGCGCCGAATATACACTTCGAAGGATTGATTACAGCACCATAACTTTTGAAACGTTTGAAAAGTGTGTATAAGTGCTGAACATGTTCTTCAGTGGAAGAACTGGCGGTTAAAACATCGTCGACATAGAAAAAAACAAAATCCAAACCTCTGGTTACTTCGTCCATGAATCTCCGATTGCTTGAGCGTCTAGAACTAATGCATTTCAATGTCATGACTAGTAGCCATCGGATACTGTTAAAGAGCAGAAACCATTCCGAAACAAGAAGAAGCGGATGCAAATAAAACGCCTGGTTTATAAAAACTTGTGAACAAGATATATGGTTATGTATTTATTGAACTCACGTTTTCTTAAGTATATCTATCTGAAGCGAGAATAAAATTTAAAGCAAACGAAGTAATGATTGACAGAGCGAAACGTCGTACTAGTAACTCATTATCATATTACACGGTTTATGTTATCCTCATGATTTTGTCATTGAACATTTCGGGCGGTAATTCTCAACGTACGTTACTGTTCGCAGTTCTTCTGTAATGTGTAATTCCGTCTTTAATTCAACCTTGCAGATATGTTTGCACAATGAGTGCACTCGACATAAGTGTATCTGACAATATGTCGTCTTCCCAGTTGTTATTGTAGAAAACAGCGTGTAGCAATCGGATAGTTTTTTAGTGTTTCTCCACTCAGTTTTTGAACCTGTGGGTATGTTTTAGGTGTACGGTTACAATTTAATATCATTACGTCTGCCGTTAATTTAATTATTACTTAAAACGGAGTACGTAAATCCGTCTGTTGATCTATCATAAGTTCGTATGTGTAGTGCGAAGTGTTACTAGTTTTGTGGATGGATAATGAAAACCACTGGGTAGTCTCAAAATGCATTAGCTTTAAAATGATTGTTACAGTGTGGATGGTCCTACGTTGTCATCAGTCAGTCGTCGACGATGTCTGTGACCTTGTCAATTTATTTGTTGGTGGACAGGTTGTTCATTTCCATAATTTATCAAATATTTTATTTAGAAATATTCGCAATTTTCTTGAAATAATCACAATCAATCAATAGGCTAGCTATTTTATTTTGTGAGATCTGTTTTTCTGAAATTTAAGTATCGTTTGTTGCGGATCGCTCGAGACTTTATTACAATGCGTTTACCGTTGCTTTCAAATTTAAAGGTTTTATTATTTGTCACTTACCCTCCATTCTACATTTCAGAATCCAAACGATGTCTTTATTTTGATTACCGATTAGTTTGAAGGGATTGCTCAAAATGTCGGTTTCTATTGATCAAATATTTCACACTGGCTTGCTAGATTTACCTTGCCATCGTTTGCTTGAAGTACAGTGTCTAAAGTTGAAAAAACCTCTCATCTGCTTAAGTCCAGTTGCGAAAATGCATATTGTTAATTATACTTTAAATATAGTAAAAAGTCTTTGTGATGCTACTGCTCCCAGTTGTATTGGTGATATTATACAATGCATAGATTACTGTTTTCCGGAGAAACTTAAACCTTCTCCTCAATTTCTGGATGAGATTCAATCTCAGGTTGAGAAAGGAAAAAGAAAAACATTGTATATTTCTGCTGATAAAGTTTTTTCCTGCTTCAAGGTAACTGTAGTTTGGCCAATTTTATTTGTATTTTCAGTTGGTGTTTCCACGCATGGAATCAAATGTGTCCTTGTTCCTGACACATCTGATGGAACATATTATGGGACAAATCGTTCAGGTAATATAGCATTTAAACCGACAATTTCTTAGTGGGTTGTAAGTTACGAGTCGAAAATTCAGTCAGGATATATTGAGGCTACAGATGTTCATGTAAGTGTTAAAAAATTGTATATAGTTTGGCTCAACGTAATAAGTGAATATAGTGTGAGGTCTCATGATTCTAAAATAACTAATAAGTGTGGTAGACTAGAACTGTTTCTTTAATCGTTATTATAGCTTGTCAAAAAGAGAATATTGTTATTGTTATGTTAGTATTAACTTGTTTCTTGGCTCATATATATATATAGGAAAAAGCTGTATTAATATTTTGTTGATATTGCATCATGTATTCCAAAAAAGTGACCGACATGAAGAAAGTAGCATATATTTGATATATAAGTTTGTCAAACCTCTTTTGTCACTTTATCATTGGGTAGAACTTGTGATAACACAGAAGTCATGTTTCGAGTGCCACTAAACAGGCATTAAGTTTGTCTGAAATATATGACAATAAATCTTGGCACTTTAAACTGGCTATATTAACTAGAATGTGTTTGTAAAAACATTTATTTATCGTGGATAGTTTTTGCATCAGTCACTAATTAGCATGTTTGACATTCGTTTCTCTCACTCAATACAAAATGTTGCTTCAGGAGTGATATGGGTTAACACCTGTGTCCTCCCAGTATTCTCTGTCTAACCTCAGAGTCGCTAACTCGGTGGTTCCAAAATATACGGGCAGTAGTTTGAATACATTTACAGTCGAATAATAGTAATCTACGAATATCTTTTATTTTTAAAGGGCATGTTCCACATCCATAGGGTAAAACGGAGAAAACTGCTGTCTAGTGAACTCACCCTTTAGTTGGCAGACGGATGCTTACGCTACAAGTGATGTAAGTTGGCAAACGCGAACTGGGCTTTCTGGATTCGTTCCAAGATTTCGCTAGTCAATAAAACTGATGAGACTTCCAATATCAGTGAAATAGTCGACACAAAGCTACTTCACTCTTTATCCTTAATTCGGGTGTTAATTGAGACCAGTCCTGAGGCAACATTTTGTGCGAAAAGTGGGAGAAACTCATCTCAAACAACCTTGTATAGTTTTTTAAAATGGCCAGAAGGCTTCTTTTTTTCAGCATCTTGACCAAACTTCTTGATCAACAAGAAGATCTAGTAAAAAAATCAATTTCTGATCAGTCAGTGGGTGAGAGTTTTACTTCGGAAAGAATATTCGTGGCAAAGTTCGTTAAAATTTTGTGCTGATTAGTGACTAGCTTCGTGAGGGGGTTCTCGGAGTTCTAGTGAGAGGCTATGACCAGTGGAGCTAATCTGTGTCGGGTAGAGACAGGTATCTACCTCAGTGCCATGGAAGACGGTCACGCAATTTTCTGGATTAGTTGAGGTTAGACATTAATGCCGTTGGATGCCGGCTCAGTGGTCTAGAGGTTAAGCGTTAGAGCCCTGGGTTTGAATCCCGCGAGCGGGGGCGTGGATACGCACTGCTGAGGAGTCCCATAACGGGACGAAACGGCCGTTCAGCGCTTCCAAGTTTTCAATGGTGGTCTAACATCAATCGGTTCATGATGTCAAATAAAAGTTTGTACTTTTGGGTCATCGAGTTGTGCCAAGGTACTAGGTAAGGATGGAAAACCCATTGATGGCGCAGTGGATCCACATCGACTGAGGTGGTTTAGACACGTGTTGCATATGCTCAATCACCTCCTAGCTCGTTGTATAATGGCTACTGGTGTGAAAAAGATAGGGACGGGGGAACTAAAATGTATCGTTAGCCCATGAAGCGATTGACTGTTGAATCGAGGCATGTAAGTAGTTGCAGACCATCTGGTTGGGGTCCACGTGATAATTGCGACCAATGGTTACACTTTGCATGACATGGCTTAAGTGCATCCATTGTCTATCATCTTTTGGATCCTAAGTTTCTTAGTTATCGCATAAGCTGTTTTATCTTCTCAAATAATATATTCTAAGCTTAATCTTTTTTACTTTCAGCAGTACTGTTATGACTTATAACATTCTGTGGTGTGACAGCCTGAACCGATGTACATGTTCAAGCTTCTACGTTGCTTGTGACTGAATGATTGGTTATTAATTAGTCATGGAGTTTCGTAGTATCTATCCAATTTTTTAGATATTGTATAGACTGGTTTGTATATTTTCTGGTTGGTATTTTAGCATTACAATATATCTTACTTCATTTGGCGTCTAGCATATCTTCAGTTTATTTGGAGCACCAAAACTATCAAAATCACCAGTTTGTTATTCCCTCCCGTTCCTACCTAGAAAGTCTTCAGATTATAAAGATTATGCAAAAGAAATTCAATATTTATTACGATTCAGTGTCCAGCACCTTGGAATAATTGTACGCATTTTTGGTGACTCACTTATGGAAGAGTTATCGCATGTCCGCATTGTTACAGAGTCACTTCTTACTGAATGTGAAGATACCCGTAATATTAACCTGACGGCTCGACGTTTACTAGGTGCTATTAAATCTGCTCAGATTGTTTTTGATCGTGCTTCAGAAGTGCATAGTCATGTAACTGTGCTAAGTGAGTGTATCGACGATGCTTTTGAGGACCAAACTCGTCTCATCGGCTCATGTTTGATAGTAAGTCATTTAATTAGATTATAATTCGCTAACGAAACATCAATCGGCTTTTACTTTACTCTTATTTATGCCGCTCGGTCGAGTTATCTTACCCAATGAATTAGTGATATGCCATTCCGAAATACGGTGTTTCAGATAATCAGTGGATCATTACATATACTTGCTTTTTACATCCATTTTCAGCCCGGATTAATTTGATCTTAGCTAATATTTAATTAAGAAATGTTTTATAATATTTACAAGATAGTTGAATAGACATTTGTTAGTGAAGTATAAATCTCAACAGAGTTCGTGGCATGAAACCTAACTTTACAGCCAATCCAGCTAAATTACTCAACATATGACATTATCGTTGTGCTAGCTTGAGGATTTGGTTGGGTGTTTTCACCGACATCCACAAACATTAAATTGTTTGTGTCATTCATTCACAATAAGTAATTATTTGGTGTGTGAGACGATGAGTGCTCGTCACTGTTTATGGCTCTTTTGAAATTCTTAATGACGCTAGTTTATTTATATAATGAATATCGTTAGCACTAAGCTAGTATCTCTAATCAGCCTTCAAGATAAATATGTTTGTTTAGAAATATTTTTACTTGACTTAGTTAGTTACCGTTCAAGATGGGAATTAAATATTAAAGTTGAAGTATTTCTGTTTTCCTGGTAGTCTGTTTATGATCGTGTGCAAAGGAAGTTTGATACATTATTATTTCGATTCCCTTCGAGTATCTTGTCAGATCAAGTAGATTGAGCGTTTATGTATCTAACTTATATACTATTTGTGGCTAGTTTTAGGAGTTGCACAAAATAGTTTGTAACACTGTAGAGGTCTGTTCAAAACTAATCACCTGTTCATCGAGTTATGCAGAATTATATTTTCCAGATCATTATTTTTATGTAACGTGTTGTAACCGTAATTCAGTTGTTCGTCTGTTATCGGTTCACTCATTAAATTATTTTTTGCTCAATTTTAATACTGATTATCGTGTAGTATTTTTAATTTGGTGACATACGATTTAGTTTAAACTTTTGGCCTTAATTAGAATTCACAGAATAAGAAATAACACTTTTGTGTTTGTATGGGATATTTCCTAGTAACTAAAATTAGATGAAGATTGATAAAATCAGGACATAAATATCAGATTGAGTTATGTGACGTGGCTGGATAAACTGAAGGGGACTGAAACAATCTGGAAAAGCATGAAACTTCAAGTTATTAGGAGTATAATCAGTCAGTCAGTTATCTACAACGCAAGACCAGACACATGTATTGGTCCAAGTTGTCATACTTTACTGCCGTCGCACCTCTGTACAGTCAGCAGTACAACTCCGCCCTCGGACCTCGGATTTGCTGCTTTTAGTCTTACTGCTCTTCAATCGACCTGTCTGGCATGGTAGGACCTTGAGGAATGATTGTTCCAGCCAGTATTACTCGATTGATTCATCACGATAGGCAAGCCCGACCATTACGTCAAGGTAACAGCAAAGGTCGGCAGAAATATGATGCCGAATAGAATTATGTTAATGATCATGCAGTATAAAAAGTAAAGATCTTAATGGTTGTGGAAGTTACATTTAATACATGATATTTGACAAATTAAACAAACTTTTGAATACAAAGTTTAGGGTCTAATTTATGAATTGCCATATCCCTTACTGTATTCAAAGTTTTCAGACATACACTTTTTAAGACAGTAAAGCTATATTTTCTATTTATATTTAAATGTCAACTACTTTGATAACCTGTAGGGAAAAGTCTGTCTGACCTCTTCTACTTTAATGCCTATTTTAGGAAGCTGCAGAAGACGGAACATTGTACAACTTTGCTCACTACGCGGATACACTTTTAAGTAATGATTGCCGTGAGTGGATAAGTATTTTAGCTCAAACACCTTGTATTATGCGGACACTTGCAAATGAATTTCAGAAGATCCTACAAGTCACTCTTAGCAATGTAAGTTTTCCATATCACTTGAATTACCTCGTATTCTGTCTTGAACAAGCAGTAAATTGTTTTTAATTTCTGTGCAATTAGATTATAATCATTTCGTTTACTCGTTTGCTTCAACACTAAATTTAGTTCAGAAATCAGCCTGTAATATTAGTAGTAATACTTGACATTCGTTTCATGCTATGAAGTACACTGTTATGTTGTAAAGCTGAGAAAATAGTTGACAGTTACTGCGAATAATGTAGATGGAAAACTGATAAGTGAACTTCTTTTTACAGTGCTTAAATCTTCCTTGTTATAAGCTCCCTCGTAATCATTTAACTACTACTGTTTAAAGCAGGTCAGCATTATAGCCAAGGTTAGGTTACAAGTAGATAAAGATCCATCTTAGGAAGTAGTTTAGTAGTAAGTATGTCTTAAATTTTCTCCTAATATTATCCTATTTTCAGTCAAAGTATTGCTAAACCTTGAGAATATTTCATCTGATTGAACTATTTGATCTGCTCAATTTGTTTATATCGTGTTTCTGGATATTTATGTTATTCTAATACATATATATATATATATATATCCGTGGCCTGGGCGAAAAGTGGTCAGTCCTCACAAGTCAATCCTTAATAACTCTCAAAAACTGAGGAATATGATGGAAGTTGGTAGTTCAGAAACAAAGTAGGGTAGACTTGTACCTTTATAGTTGTCGTATGCTTTACGTAGATCTCTTTTAAGGATGATGACAACTATCTACTTAATTCAAGGTGATATAACATTCTTCGTATCTCAAATTCTTCCAAACAATCCACCCAGTTCCATCATCATCATCATCATTCTTAAGAGAACCTGCTTCGGTCTGGGCACCCGGGCAGTATCACAGCCCACACACACAAATATGGTGTGGCGCATATATATTTGGTGCCCTCTTGTACCGATATTTATGTGTTGAAATAAATAATAATAATTCTTAAGAGAAGCTGGAGTATGTCTTATAGGCTAGTGGAAGTTTTTTATGGACCAGGCAAAGCATTATAGGACAGGTTGATCGACATTGTTTAGGCAATAAACCTTACGTCTGTAAGTGTAATCAATGTGTTCACTATCGACCTCAGATTGTCTCAATTATAACGAATTGAGTTCTTGTTGTTAGCGTCTCATTTGTGTTTAGATAGCTTCCAGCATTAACCAGAAGCAGTTGCTGTTTACAACTCGTTAGAACACTCTTGCCACCAGATTTCTTAGTCCTTGCACCAGCTTTGTGAAATCAAAACCAACAAGACCTGATATAAATGCCATAGATCCCTCAGATATGTGCATGTAAAACGAAACATCATAATCGGTATATAAAGGGAGAATTTGTAGTAATTCGTTAGAATCTTAAGTGCGGGTCAGATATATATCATATATCGGTATCCAGACTTACTAGACTTATCCAAACCTGTCTTGTTTAGTTTTTATCAAGTTGAAAATGCCGGACACCGAAATTTTAAATGTTTCACAAGGTTGCTGAAAAGTTATTTTAACTTACATTGCGTAACAGCCTCATAAATGATTCTATAATATACAAGAGACCTGAATTTTCTGAGTTCAACGTTGTTTGACGTCATGGGTACTCACTTGTCAATTTTGAGTCGAACATACCGTCTGATTTGCGCTCGTTACCCTATGTAGAGGAGCATAGGCCGCTCACCAGTATTTCCATTCAACTCTGTCCTGGACAATCCTTTCCAGTTGCACTTCATCCTTTTCATGTCCCCTTCCCACCCCCGACTCAGTATGTTCTTTTGTTTTACTCTTCTCTGTTTCCCATCAGGATTCCAAATTGGCACTTGTCTCGCAAGGCAGTTTGATGATTTCCGTAATGTGTGTCCCATCTACCTCCAACGTCTTTTCCTAATTTCCTCTTCACGTAGAAGCTAGTTTGTTCTCTCCCACAATAGATTATTGCTGACAGTATCCGGACAACGGACATGGAGTATCTTACATAGAGAGCTGTTTATAAATATTTGTGCTATTTTGATGATGGTCGTGGTAGTTCTCCACGTTTCAGCTCGATACAGCAGAACTGTCTCGACGTTCGTATTGAAAATTCTAATTTTGATATTGGTTGACAGTTGTTTCGCGTTCTATATATTCCTCAACTGTAAGAATGTTGTCCTTGCTTTGCTTATCCTTGCATTTACATCTGCATCAGATCCTCCTTATTCATCGATGATGCTGCTCAAGTACGTGAAAATTTCCATCTTTTCCAGGGCTTATCCATCAAGTGTGATTGGGTTGGTGTTCTTTGTGTTGTATTTGACTATCTTGCTTTTTCTTATGTGTATGTTGAGGCCTAGTGATTCAGCGGCTTCTGCTACACTGTTTGTCTTGACCTGCATTTGTTGTTGTGTATTGGATAGAAGGGCCAGGTCATCTGAGAAGGTCCAAATCGTCTAGTTACATTCAAACAGTTCACCGTATCCCGTGTTTCCCCTGAGATTTGGAGGTCATTATAATCCAGTCGACCACCAGACGAGAGAGGGAGTGAGTGGATGAGAGTAAGCAGCCTTGTCTGACACCGGTTTTCAATTGGAATGTATCTGTCAGCTGTCCTGAGTGCACAACTTTGCACCGTAGTCCGTCGTATGAATTCCATATGATGTTGACAATCTTCTCAGGTATACCATAGTGTCGAAGAAGTTCCGTAAGGTTCTCCCATCTAATTTGTCAAGCGCCTTCTCATAGTCAAGGTAGTTGATGTGTTATGAAGAATTCCATTGAATTGATTGCTCAACAATGATCCATAGTGTCGCAATTTGGTCAATGCACAACCGATCCTTACGGAATCCACCATGTTGATCTCGAAGTTGGGCGTCTACTGAATGTTTCATTCGGTCCAACAACACTGTTGGTAGTTAGATGGCTCTTTAGTTCTCACACATTCTGAGTTCCCCTTTCTTCGGTATCTTGATAAGGTATCCTTCTTTCCTGTCTGTTGACACTTGTTCTTCCTCTCAAATCTTCCTGAACAAAATGCGGAGCATGTTTGCAGTTACTTCTATGTCTGGCTTCGGTGTTTTAGTTGGTATTTTGTCTACTACTGCTTTCCCACCCTTCATTTGTCTGGTGGCCATCATGATTTCTTCGATCTACAGGAAGGTCTGTGTATGCTGCTTCGAAGTCCAGTGGGTTCAATGAAGCTGGTCTATTCAAGAATTTCTCAGTGTTCTACCCATCTATTCCTCTGTTCCTGAATCTCATTGACTGTCTTGCCTTGTTTGTTCTTGACTGGTCTCTCTGCATTCTCGTTCCTTTCTTCCAGTCGATCCATGTCGTCCCAATGACATATTCATATCCGGTGTTGTCCGTTTCGACATTGGCTTTTAGGTTTCCCATTAGGATGGTTGGGCCCTTTCTTGCAAACTTCTCTATGATTGATTGCAACCTCTTGTAAAACTGATCTTTATCGTCTTCATTGATATGATTGGTGGGTGCATAGCACTGAATAACATTCATTGTGATTCCCTCCTCCCTTATTTTGAAGGATGCTTTGATGATGCTGGATCCATGAGATTCCCATTCTATAAGTGTTTTGTGTGCTTCTTTGGACAGCATCAGAGCAACTCTCTGCATGCGAAGAGTATCTTCTTTTTCATGACCAGAACAAAACAGCATCTTACTTCATATGCCTACATTAACTGTTGTTCTGGTTGTTAGAAGGCCATCTGAATAATCTCGACTTTTACCATAAGACATCATAATTCTCCTACATGAAGATCTTTCAACTCAGAGGGCAGAGTTTAAATTTTTTTCTGGTTGGCGTTTTTTAGCGAGGTTGTTTTCTACGGAATGGGGTAGCTGACTCCATTCCCATCCCTCCTTCTTTACCCGGTCTTTGAACCGGCAGTAACCGTAGAAGAGCTACAGGCGGAGTTCAAATGGAGTTATTATGTAATTAATTATTTGTACTTGACTTCCTAAGAAAACGTCTGAACATCTTTCTGTTAATAATGGTTTATTTAAACATTTTATGGTAATATTTTTAAATATAATTTGTTATCGTTAAGTTTACTAAACTGGGTCTCAGTGAATATATATCCAACTTATTATTCAGTTGTTCTGTACTTTCACTTATCGATTTTGCGATAAGATTGTTTAATACATAGTTACCATTATTAAATCCACTCCTAAAATTGTTGTAAACACAGAGTAATAGCGTAGTTCCTTGAATCCTTTTTTTCAGGCATCTAGTCGTCGCCAAGCTGAGATAAAATTACGTTTTTCTGATCCACATTCATGTCAATTATGTACCACAAGTTTTGGTTATGATCCAATTGGACTGACATCTTCCGGACCATCTTCAGGTTCATGTTGTGTTTTAACCCATCACTCTGACAGTCCACAATCTTACTGGTCGAATATGTTATCTGGACATACTAACTATAGTGGTACAAGTACAAGTGTTAGCAGTGCAAGTGGTTCAGTTGACCGTGTTACTACTATGCCTGTACCTTTCAGTCCTATTTTTACAAGCCATGGATTTAATCATTCTTCATCTTTCACATCATTTACAAATCCACGACAACCTAAGGCAACAGATCATTTTCTGTATAGTAATATGAAACATATATCTGGTCAACGATCAGTTAGCAATTCGCCATCATCTCTTCAACCATTTCACAAATCTATACTGGAATCTACAAATCAAGACATCAATCACGGTCACACTACGGAAGTAACTGGTTTATCAACATCATCTTCATCATCTGCAGTCAATGATGACAGCATAAAAACTAATCCTGATAATGAGTCATCTAGTGTGCATGAAAAAGGTTTCTCAGATGATACTGATAACTGTTCTTCAGAACCTGGCTCATTCAAAGAAAATCAAGCACAATTAATGGAACTTTTTAATTTTAGTAGTGACATGACTAGCATCTTACCAACTTGTAATCATATGGTAATCGCTTTTCGTTATCTTCTACCTCAACTTCTGCTTCTACCAAATTTCCAATTGTTGTACCTGGCAGATCATATTGAGGTAGTGTAATCTCACCGTTGTTTTTGTGTCAAATATCCATGTAGACGTTTTGTCAGTAATGTTAGGAATAGTTAGTATTCAAGTCTGTAAACCTATTCATTTGTGAGACAGCTAACCACCGAGGAAAATGGAAGATGATCACGCAAATTCGTGGGTTGATTGTAGTTGAACACTAATACCTTTAAATGTCGGCTTAGTGCTCTAGAGATTAAGTATTCACGCACGAGGCCGAAAGTCCTGTGTTCGATTTCAGGGTGCGGAGCCGTGGATGCGCACTACTGAGAAACCCCCTACTAGAACGAGACGGTCTTCCAATGCTTCTAGGTTTCCAATTATTGTCGAACTTATATTGGTTCATGATTTCAATGTTGTTTTAGTTGGTCATATATGGAGTAACTGTTGTTTTGTTCGCTCAGGATTATTTCAAATAAGTGAAAAATAATGATGAGTACAAGAGTATAACGCAATACTAATTGACAAATAATCATCACCAGTAACTGTCGTCACTTAGTAAACCATTACTAACAAGAGATATTTAGATAACACTTTCTTAATTCTGAACTGTTCTACGGAGTGCTCTAATCCTAAAAAAAACAATTACAACATCACGTTTGAAGTTCTTGTACTATTTTCTGTATAACCATGATTGATATACATGCTCCATGCTCTCTTTATATTAAATATTTTATTCCTGCTTAAAAACATGAAACTTTTTGCAATTTAGAGATATTATAATTTAAATGCCAGATTGTGTAATATGATATTAATGTATAGGAAAAGTATATATTGTTTTTAGAGAATCTGTTTACTTATAGCATACCAACAAAAAATATTTCATTTCTCAGATTGGTTTATTTAAAAAAAAAAGTAGATGAGATAAATAGTAAATGAAATTTTTGCTTACACCTCAGATCCACTTACGAATACCCACAATCTGTTATCTTAACATACTTTTCGTTATATACCACATGTTTCATGCACACTAGAACAAATACTTTAAACATTGTTAACATGATTGGATGACCTATTTAGTATACAGTTAGCCGAAGACCTATGTACCTATTTATATTCGGTAATTATGATGTTCGATTATATTTCCTTGAAAAAGCTTGGGCCAGATTGCCGAGCGAAACGTTGGATTTACTACAAATTATTCCGCTGGGATTTTGCAAATAAATTCTTCCTTCTTAATGTCTCGCATCAATTCGGCTCCCAAATACTGTGAAACTATTCGTTCAAATCTAGACGAAAGTTCTTACAAAATAGTATTCAATTTAAGTTTTATCCGAAAGCTAAAAGGAAACTGCAGTAAACTTGTCACTAATAACAATAAGGTCATCATAAGCCATTAACGTTGGATACTCTCTAAAACCTAACCTAGAATATCGTAATTTACCAATATATATCAGCCCTATTCGACTTCTTGATTCTCGTAAATCATGCCATTAGCTAACTGTTTTTGTACTTCTAGTCAATCCAATCATTAACAAACCTTTACTGTGACAGGAGTTAGGATGTCTTACGTAAAGTATGCACAAGTTAGTATTGTTAGACAACTTCTCTTTTGCTCAAGAACTTGTTGCTGACTTTCACCGTTACATACTTAAAGGTGCTACTGAATGCTATGAGTACCACAGAAACATCGATAACTGCTATTCAAGGGCTGCATAGCACTGTTAATTCACATCGATGGTATTTCATAAAAGTAATAAGGAACTCCATACACCAGTTCGTTGAACACCACAATTTTTCCGCGTCGAGAGCAATCAGAGCAGTCCAGAGTGCCTTGTTGCATCTGGTCTTTTGTTATACTCTTTTGAGATTTCCATGAAAACACAACTACTGAGGTCATTGGGACTAATTCACAGATGATAAGTGCGTAGTATGCTCGAAGTTCGTACAGTCTGTATTTTATCTCACCAGGATTATGTCGTTTGGATATTGATGTTTACGTACTGTAGAGCATAAATTGTACCTATGAAGGTTTTGGCGAACTTCAGATGCGTTAAAATAGTTTGTCATGATTGACTGTTAAGTATTAGAGACTAGTCAAACATGATTTTGTAGTTGAGCTTAAGCAATTTTGAAGGTGTTCTGTTTGTTGTTCCTGGCGTTTTGAAAGATAAATCCTATCACTGTTCTTCAACTGTGATTGGTGATTTTGATAAGATGTTGAAAAACTTCAGTAATATCATTTTGTCACTAAGCTAGTGTGTCTAATTTATTAATAATAAATATACCTCCAAGCTTAGTACACAACAATATACTTTGTTACCGAGTTGGTTTGTCATTATTCAGTATTTAAAGAGTATAGGATCAGCTACCGCTGGCGTGGTTGTGTACAAGACTGCCGCTCCTTTTGGAGTACCTATCTGGACTCTGACCATGCCTTGGTCTGCGCCAATCTTACCTTACTTTTCAGTGGACAACGAAGTGACCGCCACCAACGGATTGATGTTAGCAAGCTGGTTGCAACTTCTGTTGCTAGTAAGTATCGAACCGAGCTAGTTTCTAGGCTAGCTACCATTCCACCGAAAAGTATAGATGAACATTGGTTGCAATTGCATGACGCCATGAAAATGGCGGGTACAGTCAGTTGTGAGTTCGCGAAACGTCCCGCTTTAAGCACTGGGTTTCTGCAGGTTCCTTACAACTCATTGAAGCCCGTCGGTCTACTCCGGATGGCCGTAAGTTCGACCACAAACGAAGGATGCTACGTAATGAAATCGGGCAAAGCTTGCGTAAGGGCCGAGAAGCCTGGTGGTCGGAGTGTGCTAATGAGCTGGAAGCAGCAGCTGCATCTGGTAATTACCGGAAGCTCTTCCAACTCATCCGAGCCACTGGCAGCAAGAAGTCTGGTGTGAGTGAAACAATCTGCGAGGATGATGGGATGCCAATCACTAACATCCATCGACGTCTTGGACGATGGGCAGAATTTTTCGAAGGGCAGTTCAACTGGCCTGCTGCTCCGGCAACATCGGTCAGACTGTCCTGCCCTCCATGGCCGGTGACGACTGATCCACCAAATGAGGAGGAAGTCCGCAAGGAACTCCAACTCTTGAAGCGTTACAAATCACCTGGCCCAGATGACTTACCTCCGGCTCTTTTTAAAGATGGTGGTGACTTTTTGACTAAGGAATTGACGACGTTGTTTACAAAGGTTTGGGAACTAGAGAGTGTACCAACGTCATGGAATGAGTCGATAGTTGTCCCTATCTTTAAAAAGGGTTCACGTCGTTCCTGTAACAACTATCGGGGGATAAGTCTACTTCCGATTGCGTCCAAGCTATTGGCTTCCGTCATACTTCGTAGGTTGTTCAAAACCCGAGAAAGATTGACTCGCGAGGAGCAGGCTGGGTTTCGTTCTGGTCGAGGATGTATTGATCATATCTTCACCCTCCGCCAAATGTTAGAACACCGCCATACTTATCAAAGGCCAACAATCGTAGTGTTTCTTGACATCAGGGCTGCCTTCGATTCGTTGGACAGGACTGTTCTCTGGGATTGTCTATTGAAGAAGGGTGTGCCTGAGAAGTTTATTAACATCCTAAAAGCCCTATATAAAAACACCTCAGGCAGAGTGAGGGCATACAACCACCTCTCTCCATTGTTCCATTCGAGCAGTGGGGTTAGGCAGGGTTGCCCAATCTCACCATTCCTCTTCAACTTTGCCATCGATGACATTCTGGAAACAGCTCTGATGAATGTAAGTAATGGTGGTGTGGATCTGTTGCCTGGAGAAAGACTTCTCGACCTTGAGTATGCGGACGATATTGTCTTACTGTGCGATAATGCCCAAGGCATGCAATCCGCACTTAATCAGTTGGCAATCAGTGTCCGTAGGTATGGTATGTGCTTTGCACCTTCGAAGTGCAAAGTACTTCTACAAGACTGGCAGGATTCTAATCCTGTACTCACCCTGGATGGTGAGCAGATAGACGTAGTCGAGAAGTTCGTGTATCTGGGTAGCTGCATAAGTGCTGGTGGGGGTGTGAGTGATGAGATCAATGCACGTATAGTGAAAGCCAGAGCGGCTTATGCCAATCTGGGCCACCTTTGGCGCCTTCGTGATGTTAGTCTGGCTGTAAAAGGTCGGATCTACAACGCGTCGGTGAGAGCAGTTTTGCTCTATGCTTGTGAAACCTGGCCTCTCCGAGTTGAGGACGTTAGACGACTCTCTGTGTTCGATCATCGCTGTCTCCGAAGGATTGCTGACATTCAGTGGCAACACCATGTCAGTAATGCAGAGGTTCGGCATCGTGTGTTCGGGCACAGAGATGATAATTCAATTGGTGTCACCATCTTGAAACACCGACTTCGGTGGCTTGGACATGTTCTCCGAATGTCGTCCCAGAGAATTCCACGTCGTGCATTATTTGCCGACTCTGGGACTGGTTGGAAGAAGCGGAGAGGTGGTCAGTGCATGACATGGTGTCGTGGCATGAAAGAAAGCTGCAAAGGACTGGCTTGTGTTGGTCCTTCACGACTCCCTGGTTGGGGTCCGAGAGATGGTGCTACACAGTGGCTAGAGACGTTATCAGATATGGCTCAGAATAGAAGCCAGTGGCGATCCTGCTGTAACCTTCTTTTAAAAAGTGGTTGTGTCTCCTTACCTGAAAGATTTCTTCTGATTGTACCTCTCCGTTCCCTCATTACTACCACACTACCTTACACCAATCTCTTCGTTATTGTTCTCTTTTTTTACGTTCCTTAGTTTTTTTTTCTATTTCTCTTCGAATTCTCATTGTTTTGTGTGGCGCATATATATTGGCGCTCTCTTGTACCAATATTTATGTGTTCAAATAAATAAATAAATAAAATAGGAACTTTTACTAGTGCACTAGTATGGGAGTTTCCAAGTTTTTTTTATTTGATGTTGGTATATTTTATAGAAGTATTCATTATTCTTTATATACATCTTTATTTTGTTGTGACTATCGAAGTAGTCTTTGTTTATGACAATTAGATGCTTCTCATCTTTAGGCTCTATGTACTCATGCTACTGAAGAAAATGAACAATCGACTCTCAAAGATGTAATATCTCTGCTTTCGAAAACCCGGTCCACTGTATCCAATGCATTATTTAATCAAGACTGGTGAAATCTGTCTCTCCGACGTTAGCTTTCTTCTTGAAAACTCCTTTCTGTTCTAATCTCTATCCAGCTGAAGGTAGAAGTAAATTGGAAGAATTGATTTCTTCAGTTCGTCGCATGCAACATTCTTCTGAACCTCCACTTGTTATGTCCGAGTTTCTGATGGGTATGTGTGGATCTTATATTTGTTATATTGTTTATTCAGCGTTATTTTCAGATGAAAGTTATGCTACAGAATTCATTTAAATATAATTCGTAGTATATGAGGCTATATATCATTAATATATTTTGGTTATCAGAAATTACCTCTCTAAAACTTAATAAATTGAAAGTGCCCAATATATATATTTCTCAATGGAGTTAGCATTGCATGGATTTACTACCATTTATTTGTAGCAACTCTTGTATATTTACTTCAAAATAGTTACACCCAAGTTGTGATTATCCAAAACCTAAATTTCTCAAACCACACTGTAGTTTCATTGTTCCTTACTGCCTTACACTTACTTGTTTGATGCACACTGTTGAAACTCTTTCCTTTTTTTAGAGATATTACCAGAGTTAGCACCCAAATAATTAACATTTTGAAATTATAAACACTGTTTTTTTTCTTGATGATAGTAATTTTAGTTGGTAATTCCTGGTTTTCTTTGACTAATCGTTAGCAAACTTATTTTAAACAATGTATCTAACTATTATTTTTTAAAATTTTATTTATGATTCTTTGATCTTCATACAAAATGAAGTTTTGAGAAATAGAACTAAGTTTATTATACACACAAACCCCGTGTACAATAATTGGTTTCAATTCCAAACTCTTGTTTGTGAAATTAGGCAAGAACGAATGAGCCTAGCGTTGCTGTTGTATCCCCTCACCAATTAAGAAATTACAATCGACTAAAGTACCAACCTATACATTTTACATTTGATTTCCAAGCTTAGCTGATTTTATTCCCTCTCCATCTAGTCTTTACTAATATATTCTTATTTGTAAAAATAATGTGATTGAAGGATAAATTGATCAGTGGTTACAATAAATAAAGTAGTTCATATAGCGCAAATGCAGGACTCAGTAGATTTTGTCTTGGTTCAATGTGACCATAACGCAAACAAGATTTGTTTAGAGTGTTGCAAATATGACATTGAAACATCCTTCAAAACCTATAAAATTGCCAACAAACATCCATTAAATCGTATTGGTTACATAACTTCATTTGGGCCTTAAGAAGAACATCCTTATCATCCGACATTTCTTTCTTCTATTCTTATTTTTTCATGTTCTTACATAATTTTCGAGATTTTCTTCAATATTACTAAATCTTTATTCCATCATACATTTAAATTCCAACGTTTATGATGTTATTTTATAAGGACTTCCGTTTAGATTAGAAGGAATAGTTTCGTAGTAGTTGGGTGCCGAGTGTATAGAAAACATTCAAATAGAAATTGTATTTTTAAAATCTCAGCTTTTTGAATTAACAATAACCAGTGTTTCATTCAGCCGTCTAGTTGGAACTTTTTCAGGGAAATAATCAAAACCCAAAATTAACGCATCAACTAGCTCATATTGACACTTTAACAAATGCTAAATTCGATATCTTACCATCATTGAATAATCGTTTAGTAAACTGATGTTTTGTGAATCCTATTCATATCCAATGATTATGATTTTCCATTATTCCCCAGAAGAAGCTCAAACCGGATCGCTGGACGTTATGTTGGGGTTATTTTTAATTTAAATCGTTAGGATGTTTACGATTGTAGTTTCGTTTTAATGTTAACGATGTTATTTCGTTTCTTTATCTACTTTTTTTATGTGGGAGGATTAAAATTTACTTCTCATCTCTTCAGTAGAAACCCGATTTAACATATATTGTGATTCCCCAACACTTTCTTTGACCAATTGATAAATTTTGTATTTTAACTCGTTTAATTTCACAATTGTTATTTTACTTCACAATAAATATATACTCTGTCTCAAAACAACTAATACATGTAACTGAGTTATTCCAGTTCATGGTGGAGCCTACAGACATTTATAAGCTCATGAAATTCTACTTCATATTCTTCAATTTTTTCGAAAGTTCATTTGTAAATAAGTAAATGAAATGTATGTTATTAAGGGAAAATGTCAGTTACCATTAGTTCGCCTTCATGTAAGTCAACTCAAAGCAAACTTATTAATAGACACTCACAAACATCAGTAATATTATATTGGATTTATCGTTCGATTTCAGCCTAAATTACAAATTACCCTATCTACAATTTATTTGTCTATTATCTCTTTATATGTATTGTATTTTCTCTGTGTATATCTAGATGGCCCAGTGCAAGTAAGAGTTGATCACGGTCGTCCAAAGAAATCTGAACGAATTGCTTACCTGTTTAGTAATTGGCTGCTATTGTGTAAAAGCAAAAACGTGTACTAAGTAACGTTGTGTCATCGTCGTCATCATCCAATGCAAACTATGTGTTAAAAGTGAAAAAACGCATTTGCCTAGAACAGTTCCATATAATCGATGTAGCTTCAGAGTTCAGTGACAATAATGGTAAATTATGTTTTTAATAAGAGTTTAATTCAATACGTCGACCTTTTTTGTCTCGATCTCTGAAACTTTCGAGGTTGCAAATTGTATATTGACTTCTATGAATTTCTGAGTAGCTATTTAGTTCTAACAACTTAATAATCAAGTTAAATGGTTTTTCAGTTTGTGATTGCAAATGTTAAATTTGATTTCAAAGCTGGACGAAATTTCAGTGAACAACTGGTGTTCTTTTTTTACTAATGATTGAATCTTAATGGTTAATCCTACGTATTGTTTTATGTTTTCTAATCTGCAGATCAAACTGTGTTATCTGCATCAATGATATTTTTTTACCGCTTCCCTACTTTTAACATGGTGCTTATATTTAGACCGGTATTTTGAAATTTTCTGTTTCTTATGTGTTTATTATTTGGGTGCTTATGGCTTCACTAATACATAGACTGTTATGTGAGTTCTGTTTTTGTAATGTATACTTGTGTGTTGTCGTAGAATGATGGATTCAAGTATTTTGCATCATTCACCAGTACTTTTAAGTCTAAGAATACATGAAGGGTAGTTAGTTGCTCTTCGATTCATAACAATAATCTATAGTCCTTAAGTTTAGAGTTATTCTCTATTTGGTTGAAATTTCATAATTTCATAGAATATTGATAAGAAAATGTGTTTAAAAAAGTTTATTAATGAAAACAATGCTCCTTAAAAACCAAGATTAGATATAATTTTTGGATTTCAGATACTTCTTTGCTCAGGTGTTCTCCTGTTCATATTACAATTGGCTCTCCTCAAACAAGAAAATAATGATCAGCTGAAATCGATGATATTTAGAAATAAATTTGTGTAGCATATAGATCATAGTTACGTCGAAATGTTCTGGCCTATAAATTCCACTTACTATATTTATTACTTCTTGTTATTCCTAAACACTATCAGAAACTAAATTTCTTTATTGGTGGTTACACATATAGTTTACTTGCGGCACTAAGTTATTTCTGATGTATACTATTCATAATCGGCAGACTTATGAGATACTAGTATATAACTGCGCGTTTATGTATGTTTTGCCAAATTCGTGTCTTTTGGATTAAAACTGTCCTACTGCCATGCAGTTTAGTTACATTCATCAACTTAATCTAATCCTGATACTAGTGCTTGACTTCAGTGATAAATTGCATGATGACCGTCTATTTTTATTTTGATCGATAGACCTCAGTACGTTGTACAGTTTGGTCATTTAAAATACTATATATGTCCTTGTGTTATTTAACAATATATCCGAAGTCATTAGGATAAGAAATAATTTGTGAAATGAATTCCTTGGGAAAATTGTTTACTTCTAAATATTGATATTAAATAATATGATGTATATTTTCATAAAAATCCAAACTAGTTATGTTGGGTAGAGGATTGTTTTTAAATTTTGATAATTTTCGCCAAAAACCCAAATGTAATATATAAATCCGACTTACTAAGACAGCGAATAAGTGATAAATAAATAGAGCAGCGATTCAGTTACTAATGATAATTTATTTCAGAAGTGAGATTGAATATTATGTGGTGAATATAATTTACGAATGTACACGACTTCATCCATTTCACGGTTTAACCTATTTTGTGAAAACATCTTCGATTGTTGCTCACGAAACTGGATTATTGATTCAAACATCCCAAACGAACTGATACTAGTAGGTAAGACAACGACCCAGTAGACTAGGTTTTTTTATCAAATAAAGTAACATGCTTATTGTATATAAATAAATTACTAACGGAAAGGATTAAAAAGATGGGATGTCACAAACAATTTAAGGAGATCAATTTTATAAGTAAATTACTCATTCAGTATCTAATAAATTAAGACCTGAATGTAAGGGCCAATTTCTCTTTGTTACAACACTAATTATAACTAGGTATTTTCTTAAGTGTTCTTGTTTTTGACATTGTTCTTTACAGGTATGTTATTTCTCTTTGACTTGGAATGTTGGGAAGCTCCTAAACTGTCATCTATTATGTCTAATGTACAAACGAACACAACTAGTTCGTTTAATGCCAATACACTCTCGTCTTGTAATTCTTCTGTTGTACAAGCAGAAACACAGTCTGTACTTTCTGGTTCATCCAATCATCATTATCAACCCCAACTTGGCAGTGTACTTTCTGTTTCTACAATTACAAGTACAAGCACATTGATTGATCATACCGTTGACTTAAATAACATTGGAAATAATAATAGTAATAATGAAAATGACAAATCATTAATTCTACCAACCGCTGGTAATGCAGTGGAAGCTTCAAACAATGCTTTATTAGAGGTGATCTCATCTTATCCAAAACAGCGTTTCACATTCATTTTCTATAATAAAGAAGATAAAGCCAATTGGATATCAGCTTTAGTGTATCTTCATTTAGCTAGGTATTTTTGTTGTCAATAAATAAAAAGTTTGTAATGTCTATTGAGGAACAGCATTTTTTATACGTTAAACACGATTTGATATATTTTGTGGTCAGTATTTTCTTATGAGTTGGCTCTGTACTTTATAGGCTTTACCACTGACAACAGGAATCCAAGCAGCAAGGTAAGGTGGGTTGTTTTTAGGGGTCCTTCCTTTCGTTGTTAGAAAATAGGATCACTTCAGTTACTGGTTGTTTGACAGGATCACCTTACTGCTGTCATATCTCTGTACAGTTGGCAGCGCGATTTCAGGTCCGGACCTTAATTTGCTGCTTTTAATGCTACTGCTTCCTAACCAACCTACTTGAAATAGTAGGACATGAAAGAAAATTTGTTGCGGCCATTGTAGCTCGATTGGAATATCACAATCTGTTAGATTGACCACTATGTCACAGTTAGGAGCTACGATTAGGTTAAAAATATTTTTAGCCGTATGATTACCTGTAATAACGATAATTCTTGAATTATACAGAGTTTGACGCGTCAACTTCATTTGTCTTTTCATAGATGTTGAGTAAATAGAAATTTCTTTTTTATTTCAGACTGATATTTTCAATTTACCTTAAAATAATCTTTCTACCATTTCCTTTTTTATTACTACCACTTTTAAATTTAGTCTTCTACCAATGACCACCGTATTTTTATTAGTCTACTCATAGATTTATATATATAAAGCTTCATTTTAGTCTTTTTTTGCTTTCTAGACTGTTTAAACGATATCTCACGTCCCTCCCTCGTCAAGATCTTCCTTTGATTCTACCATCTCCTTCAGTTTACCGGTAAGTGTTCCTGAAGTCGGGTGTTTTTAATTTCTGAGTAATGTAATTTGTTATGCGTTTAATCTAGTCTTCCTAGAAATCTATACCGATCTAGATAACAAGTGTTTACTTCTCAGTTACTGGCCTTACCAATCCTTGCATAGTATGATAGTACTATATATATATATATATATATATATATATATATATATATATATATATATATATATATATATATATATATATATATATAGTAGGGTAACTTTCATGCATTTCTTTCCCTTTCACTTTGATTCAGTTTTTCATGACAAGGATTCAATTTTGAGCATCTCACTTAACTTACAGAATCTCAGAATCTTTAGAGGAGACTATCTTTATGCATAGAATGATTTGTTTTGACTACAGTTTGTAAAATCAGTTGAAATGGCTTGTAAATTTTGTTGTTCTGTAATTATTCATAGGGAAAAACTTTATTGACTATCATATTAATGTCTACCGGTCTTGTTTTTATTTGCTAGAATATGCAACATGTCCTTAATGATGAGACGACAGTCAAATAGTTTGTTTTGGCTTACCCTATCATGGTTATTTAATAGAATATGAATAACTGATGAGGTTATTCTTCTATTGTGGTATTAATCTATGAAATCTAGGAAAAAAACTGTACTTATATTTTGTCTCTTTATATGTTTCTTTTTCTTTAAAAAATAGAACTTTTCGTAGACTAGTCTCGTTAAAAGGAAAAAAAGATTCAACTGTTTCCAAATATATTATACTTAGTGATGTGCGGAAAAATAATGACGCGAACTAAAGGACTATAATTGATCTGAACTGGTTGTTTAACGTAATATATAATTGGATTGTATAATTGTACTATGACAACTGGTTTGTTTCTGAATTGACAAAGTAATTACTATTAAGATAATAACAAACAGATTTAATTAACAGTATAGGATTGTGGATATTATTGAATTTCATTTAAGTCACGAACTAATTTAAATTGAACAGCTATTAATAACCTGTAAGCACTGAATAACCGTTTTCTCCTAGAATCTCATGGAATAACCCTAAATTCCATCATTACGTTAGAGTATATTGCCCAGCAACTGATTTAAAATTTCTCATTTTATCTTACAGATGATTAGCATAAAGCAGCTTACTAATAATGTCATTGACTTTTGGATTGAGTAACTGTTGATTTTAATTTCCTAGTAATTCCCGTTTTTTATGTTGATTGTCTCCAATCATATACATAAATAGATCTCAAGTGTTTTTTAAAATAAATTTTATTTCCTTAATAATAATAAAGTCATTGAATCTGTCATTAGATCTAAATACATTTGTTATTCAAAAAAGTATTCATTGAATTATCAATCAAATTGCTTATATTTATTCCTATTCATATCTAATATAAACAGTAACTGTGTAATTTTATTCAATATGTTATCAATATAAGCATATTATTACATTGTTTTATTACAGATATTCTGTTCCCGACTCTCCATCTAATATTATATTTGAATCTTCTCAAACAGATGGTAGCGCAGGGATTCCTGTTATTCGTGCTGCTACAATTTTGAAACTTATTGAACGAATGACATATCATGAATATTTTGACAATAAAACTTTGAATGCATTTCTTTTGGTATGTTTACTTTTTGTTAATTTATTTCGTTCTATCTAATTCATTAAATATACCTATTTTTTTATTGAATTGGGTAAAAATTAAATCGACTTTACTACTAATAAACTTAAAATAATTTTAAGCATTCAGAAGTAAATATGTTTATATGCTGTCTATCATTGTGGAACATTTAAGTATACTCATTGTCATAGTTTCTAGTTCTTACTTTATATTTTATGCTAAAAATTGAAGAACGTATAGAATTTAAAAATATATATATACCTAATGAGTTCCCACAGTTATGTTTTATGATCCAATCAGCCTAATGATAATAACGTCTCTTAAAACGATATTGAAGGACAAATTTGAGTTTAACACGTCGGTGAGAGCAGTTTTGCTCTATGCTTGTGAAACCTGGTCTCTCCGAGTTGAGGACGTTAGACGACTCTGTGTTCGATCATCGCTGTCTCCGAAGGATTGCTGACATTCAATGGCAACACCGTGTCAGTGATGCAGTGGTTCGGCATCGTGTGTTCGGGCACAGAGATGATAATTCAATTGGTGTTACCATCTTGAAACACCGACTTCGGTGGCTTGGACATGTTCTCCGAATGTCGTCCCAGAGAATTCCACGTCGTGCATTATTTGCCGACTCTGGGACTGGTTGGAAGAAGCGGAGAGGTGGTCAGTGCATGACATGGTGTTGTGGAATGAAAGAAAGCTTCACAGGACTGGCTTCTGTTGGTCCTTCACGACTCCCTGGTTGGGGTCCGAGAGATGGTGCTACACAGTGGCTAGAGACGTTATCAGATATGGCTCAAAATAGAAGCCAGTGGCGATCCTGCTGTAACCTTCTTTTACTTTCTTCATAAAAAGTGGTTGTGTCTTCCTGTTATGACTGATGTGACTGCAGGTCTTGATAAGCAGCGTTTATTGATCGATTCGATGAGAGTGACACGGAAAACACGTAAGGGACGACCTAGTGCCCTGATTGGCCCTGCCCCGCTGTCTGTCCTAGCCCAGTTGAGTGGAGAACAAAAGTCACAGCCTCGGAGATATGAATCACTATATTTCAAACATACTTTGTTTATATACTAGTCAAGCATACCACAGCGTACCATAAAAATAGTAAACAACATTTACGCAATATGTAACGAATGAATTAAATAATAGCCAATAGGGAATGTACATTTAAAGTCCAAGGACACCACTGGACTTAACATGATAATTATTGGTCTATTCTTCCGCATCCACAACACCTCCCCTTTTTTTTGAAGATCCGGAGTTGATATCCGGATTTTGAAATTTTCTGGGTTCATCCTCCCCCACGAAATAATGTTGGGTCCTCATATTCCCAAGTTAGAATTAATTTGACTTTATTTAACACATAATTGTCAGATTGAACAGGGGAGTCACTGAAAGTGATTAAATAGTGGGGAACAATGTCGCTTGATATGAGGTCACCAACGTTTGATTCTTCTGGAACATTGTCACGGGATTTGTTGAAAATCTCATTTGTAAACAGTTGATCACTGCGATAATCAACATCTATCAAAATTGTATTAGATTTCTGATCATCATTTAATGCATTTAACACATTTTCTGGTACAAAAAGATCTAGATAATAAGATTCGTCAGAATCTCCTGTTGTTGAATGATGAGGACCATTTGAAACAGCTGGATTCAGTGTACCGCACGATTTGTTCCCTGTTCCGTTGTGGGCGGGTACTGCAATTAATTTATGAGCATTTAATAAGAGATCCTCCTGTGAGCTGGGTACATCACTGTCTGTACACAGCCTCGGAGATATGAATCACTATATTTCAAACATACTTTGTTTATATACTAGTCAAGCATACCACAGCGTACCATAAAAATAGTAAACAACATTTACGTAATATGTAACGAATGAATTAAATAATAGCCAATAGGGAATGTACATTTAAAGTCCAAGGACACCACTGGACTTAACATGATAATTATTGGTCTATTCTTCCGCATCCACAACACTTCCTTACCTGAAAGATTTCTTCCGATTGTACCTTTCCGTTTCCTCGTTACTACCACACTACCTTACACCAATCTCTTCGTTATTGTTCTCTTTTTCTTTTGCGCTCCTTAGTTTTTTTTCCTATTTCTCTTCAAATTCTCATTGTTTTGTGTGCCGCATATATATTGGTGCTCTCTTGTACCAATATTCATGTGTTCAAATAATAATTAACATCAATGTATTCTGAACTGTATACGAAAAAGATACACCATTTACAGTAGAATGATTAATGAGTACATTTGGCGCGTAAGTTCAAACATCATTTGATCTACTTTAATTTCATCAATCCTCACACAGTTGATTAAAAATCAAGTACACAGTCATGTTCCTGATTACTTGGATTTTTTTCCCCAGCTAAACTAATTTTATACTAGATCAAAGTAATTAAAATGAAAAACGTTTGAATGTAGACTGAAAGTTTTGCTAAACTAACTGCAACATATTGTAAGTGGTAAAAGTGTGCAGTTGATATATATTTATTTGATTGTTGTATAAGATGCTTAAATTATTTATTTCTCAGTACTCCACCTACTATTTACTTGTTTATTATGCATACTTGTTGCGTGATATAAATAAACAGAAAAATATAAAACAATAAATTATATATTTCATCTTGTATTGGTTGATTCAATCTTTCCATTGATGTTTAGGACTGCAATTGATCAGCCTCTTAGTGGCGTATATGAATTCTATGCTGATTGTTTCAATATAACCTTAAGTCACAAACGTTATAAGTAGAGATAGATAGTGGCTAGCAGTAAATGTACGTCCAACTAACTTGTCCCAAACAGAACGAAACGCGTGTCCTGGATCCGACTGCTAGCCTACATCCATAAATTGTTTATTTCTTTGTAAAAATATCCACACATTGTTGGTACTTTAATCAATTTACCGTCACATACGTAATCATAAATTGATCTAATCTGTTACAAAAAACTCCGCTTCACACTTGCTTGTTGTTACATGTTTTATTCTGATATCATTATTGATGAAATTAGTAAATTTGTTTATTCTGTAAGCTTTTATTTTCATACATTCAATGTAAGTAATCAGACTGATATTAATAAACTATGCATTTATTTGTTAGGTTCAGTGAAGCTATTAAACGTTGAGACAATTAGGCCTACAACAATTTCTTATTACAAATGGTTGAGATTCTTCTAATTACAAACGGGATCCAATAGCAACTAGATAGATTGACAACTGACATATAACAGCACTTCAGCATTAATATTTCACATGCGAATGAGACGTAGAAAAGATAAGATATTCAGGATAGCTTTATATTCTGAACAGAAGTTCAAATTGATCTTTGGACACTGCAAAATTAGAAAAGTGAAAGTAATAATAACTAATCAGATAAAAACAAGGGTCATTACGGAAATATGAACTAGAAAAATGTTATCGTGGTTACCTTTATCATCTAGAATTAACAGTTATTGGTATAAAACTAGACAACCTGAGCTCTCCTTGGCAGAGCGATATATTAATATATATATAAATTTCGGGCCAACTCAGTGTATTTACATTACTACTGTGGTGAACGCTGCTCACAAGGTTGCTAGTAATTAGTATGCAGCGGGATGTTACCTTGAATCTGTCACAATCGTCAGACAGGGAGAAGGGTTTCTGTACATTGAAAGCTCGGCTCAGGCAGAACAATTGAAGACCAGAAGGTAAGATAGTTCGCATTACAGAACACACTAAAAAATGCAAATAAATGGCCTAAGGCTATGTACACGTATAAAATAAACCCTTTGCAATTTCTCACAATAAACATTTATTGCATCTGTCCATTACCTTGTTTTACACTACCACTGGTGCTGTAGATCAAACTTTCTAGTCATCTTCAATGGTTTATAGTTGTTAATTTTGTTCCTACTTGTATAGTTTACTACAACTGTCATTTAATTCTTTCGTATGTGTATACAAAGTATCCATGAGTTTAAGCTGAACGTTTGTTTCAACTAGATTATAATGAATTTGAAATAATAAGAAAAAGTGTAAAATTATGAAGGCTTGCATCACACTGAATATGAGTAGTATAAATGTAGATATAAAATTATTGTGTTGTTTTGTCATTCTATTATGATTTGTAACATTGTGATATCCTTCTTTTCAATTATTGTACAGACATACCGACGTTATATTTCTTCGTTGGAGTTGTTGGATTTATTAATTGAGCGATTTAATATACCAAATCCAGATTTTACTGAGGCTGCTAATGAAACATTCAGTTCAATAAAAGAACGTGATGGTTTACTTACTGTTGCTTTACGTTTGGAACAACGTTTCCGTTCAGTGTATAAACGGCGTGTACAATACAGGTTTAATCGAGTTTCATTAGTTTTTCTCTTACTTGTGTTGTTGGCTGATACTAATTGCTTATAAATATTTTGTTGTGGTCTAAGCACTCTTCAGTTAACATGTCATTATTCCCCGGTTGTAGTCGTCACAGATTGATCTCAGTTGGGATATGTCTGAAAACTGGGTAGCGCTACTAAACAGCTGTTTCATCTTAGGATCGAATTCGTCAATACAGCGGTGAATACAACCTAAAACTAAACTAATCGTCACAAAACTTCAACTAAACTAACAATTAGTTCATTAGTAACCTACTCCAAGAATTTCTGGTGAAACGTTGTGACTGGTAAAGTTCAGATATGTGAGGAGCCAAACGATTTGTTACCAAATGGCATTTGATTGTCATTCTATATTGTGAACTGAACGAAGTTAGGGTTGTACCACTGGGTGCCGAACTAGTAGCTCAAGTGGTCAAACGTTTCTTCTCGTGATCCGATGGTCCTGGGTTTGGCCTTAAATAGTGAATTGGTTGAAAACGATCTATTCCAAGTAGCAATATCGACAAAAGCCCTGGTACGGCCAAGAGTGGGAAGAGTCCGCTCTCCTCGAAATGTTCTCACATAGCCACGCGTATAAAGCCACTGTCAGGAAAGTCTTACTCACTGCCTTCTCGTGGCGCAAGTGTCGTTTGTGAAATTGAGAGGACCAAAAATGAATGTCCGTCACATTAACAGTGTTGGTTTGTAAGGAGGATCCGCCTAGAGGAGTTGGAGAATCTTGATCCCAAATCGATGGTGCACATGGGCCTCAGGATCCTGAAAGAACAAATGGCGTATGAACCAATTATCGGTCACCGACTACCATGGGACTACATCTCCTTACGTTGCTCCACTGCCTTGTAGGTCAAACCTTTAAATCGAAGGCTCCGGGTGTGGCTCCCCCTAAGAATACCACCTGCTTGGGTTTGGGTGCCTGGGCAGTATCATAGCCAACACACAAATCAAGTGTCTTGTGTGGCGTATATGTATTCGATGCCTCCTTGTACCAATATTTGTGTTTAAATAAGCAAATGAACGTTCAAAAGACTTTTTAGTGGAAATTCACGGCTGTCCTAATGGTCTCATATTTCATTAAATAACGTTTTTTGGAAGTTCTGTGGATAGAATGAATAGAAACACTTTCAAGAATAAATCGGTAATTGGGAAAAAGATCACACATCTGGTACAGCCAAGCAGATTTCGTTCGATGATGAAAATGGGAGTTGACCTATTAATATATATATATATATATATATATATATATATATATATTCTGTTTTTGGGAATGGCTCATTCGACATTTCACTGATCTATTCCTCCACCATTCAGATGTTTTTTGTCCCTGCACTAAGCACATCAATAATAATGTTAATAACGTCAAATTTATTAACAAGTGAAATTGGAAATTAGATTGATTAAGCAGATTTCTCCAAGATTGATCGATTATCACTGAAATTGTAGATGAATCACATCGATACTATCTCCACTTGCTATAGGTTTTTTATTTGATCAGTATTAAAACATCCATAATAATAGAAAATCATAAGGCTCAATTATAAGAAAACTCGTTAACTCCATTATCGGCTTGCAGTTCAAATTCAACATGAAATCCATGTTTTTGAAATTGCATTTTATGAGCTCGGTGGTTTAGTCATAAAGTTTTCATTGTCTTCCTAGACACGATATCACCAGCACAAACTTGAGATAGAATTGAGGTATTAGAATTTTTAAAAAAGTGACTAGCATCTTTTTAGGTCGGTTTTGAAGTTCATAGGTTGTTGCTGTTTAGACGTTTTCTGCCATCGTCTGCTTAATTATCTTGACTTTTTCTGACTGTATCCAGCTCACAAAATGCAATTTTAACAAAATCATTCTCTTGTGCTACATATTTTCTCGATCATCCAATCCATTGGTTGCTCAATCCCATTAACAAATATAGACAACTTTATGAAGTGAATGATAGAGTGAAAAGTTGTTAGCACTTTATTTATATATCTCCCGTCTATATTATTGGGATTGTCTCCGTCAATCAATCTGTGTCGTTACTACTCTTCAACGATAGCTTAACTGTTCACAAAAGTCTTCAATTGTATTCATCGCCAAGTCACATTCAGTTCAGTAGTTATCTCAATGCTATCTTAAAACTTTCATCATCTTACTATGATCGTCGTTTTTCTTTTTAAAAAAATTTATTTCAGGGTCTTAAATTTCATTATTAAATGGGTGAAAAATTCTTCTTACTATAAACTTGACATATTACCAGACACTGTATTACGCAGTAGGTTGTGGGATTTCCTAGACACTGTACATGCTCGTAATTTATCTGACAATGTGACAAATATTCGTAAATCTCTTCTTGGTGATAGAATAAGATTAATCCAGACAATTGAACAACTGCCACCTGAACAACTTGATTTCGGTTTGGTTACATCATCGGATGACGTGAAATTAACCACAGTAAGACTTGTTATATATGCACATTTCCATAATTTTAAATTTATGTATTTTATTAGTGTTAAGATTCGGCAATATTTATTTTACAAGAATCTTGACTCAATTTCATCTTAAATAAACATATTACTGAATTATCCTTATTATTTAATTCGTTTGTTTCTTTGTAATTTTCAAACATCTTTTTAATTCTTCGTATAGATATCTTGAGTTGGTTGAATTGTATGATGAGGCTGTTTAAAATGTTCTCTAATCTAGCACTTCTTTCCACTTTTATGTTGTATATACCATCCAAATTTTTATCAGCAAATATCGTACAGTCATTGAAGTTTTTTTGAAGATGACAAAATCAACTACATGTAAACCAATTATTCTGGTATTTTTAAAGAAAGAAGAATATTCTGTTTCTAATATGTGTTTCTTGTGAATTTTGTCCAATGGAATCCAGCCATTACATTTGCAACTATCTTATCATTGTGTTTTATATATTGGGAATAAGTTTTTCTCTTGCATTCAACTGTTATATAATAGTAGCATTTAATAAAAATTTTTGGTCAATAATTATTTACCATTTAACTCCTGGAAATTGTGTAGTTTGTAAGATTTTAGAACGTACCTAATTGTTTGTGCATGTAGTACGAATCGCTTTTCGATAATGTTTAGGATAGACTAGACTGTTTTGAGTACATTTTATTTGCAGATATTAGTAAACTTTGATTTAATGTCTACTGTGTTCATTCTCTTTTCATTTTCATTACATCGACTTTTGATTCCTTTTGAAGGTTCATCCGTTAGAATTCGCACGTCAAGTAACACTTTATGAATGGGAGTTATATTCTCGCATTGAATTTTGGGAAGTCACTGGTAAGGAAAAAATCAAATCTCCCAATTTCGAATTATCACTCCAGTTTTCCAATAAGGTTTGTACTTTCATTTTTGTCAGTATCATATCATTATACCTATAATAACATCAATAGAATAAATAATATCTGACTGATATTACATTTATATCTCAACCATTTTATATTATTGACGTTGGCATTAGTAAACTTATTTAGTTAACTGTTACTCAGTCATCAATCTAGAGCCTGACAGAAATGTGCATTGGTCTAAGTTGTTATATCGCATTAGCTAAACGTGGTGAAATTAACACGATGAACAGTAAAGTAATCTAAATAATATAGTAGCAATTTCAATGAGAAAGACCAAGTATTAAAAATAGGGTTCGAGAAGAGGGAACAAAAAGGAATTTATGAAGAGAAAAGAGAACTGAAGACCTAGAGAAAGACAAAGAGTAAATGCATTTGTTCTATTATGAGTAATCCTCATCCACTTCACCCAACCTCCCCAACCACTAATCACATTTGTTACTTGGACCTCAACCAGATAGTCTGGATTTACCAAAATGACAAACTCCTAGCTTTTTCCTAACCTACTTCTGGTTAGACATACATGAAACACGTTCAAACCGCTCCAGTCAATGAAGATTCATTGTTTCACAAATTGATTTACCTTTTTTTATCTGATGCTCTGCGTCTAACCTCAATATTCCTCACTCATTGGTTCGGACATACGCTAGCAATGTTTCGGTTAGTAAAAATTATATAGGTTAAATATTAAATCCCTGTTTATTATTTCACAACTTACATAATCTTTGGTTATTATTGTATAAGATTGTTTACTCATCTACGATTCTCAATTTAATACGTTCTTAATAACTCAGTCAGTCTGTAAAACGCAACGTAGAACCTGACACATATGTACATCGGTTCAAGTTGCCATACCTCTTTAGCACAGAGAGATGAAATTGCCATGATAAGTCTCAGAGTAGTAAAAGTAGCAATAGTATTGGTGATAATCGAAAAGGTTAAGCATCGAAGATGCGTTTCGAGAGAAAGTAAATCAGTGGAAAAAAAGTGAGGAAATTTAGCAACTCAAGATCTAAGAAACGACAAACAATCAATGAAGCTGCACTATTGCTTTTTATCTTCTAAACCAATCTATGTACAATCTAAATGTGTATATAATTAATCCATTTTCTGAACATCTTATGATTATCGTTGAACTGTAATTGTTTTCTATTTCTTTCTGTTTTTCTATAAAGTTTAAATGTTGGTTAGTTAGTTCGATAATATCAGCTGAACATTTAGAAGACAGAATGGTTATTATGCAACGTGTTGCTGATCTGTTAGTTTACTTCGATAGTTTGAATAATTTACAAGGTGTTCAAGAAGCCAAAGCTGCTTTATTGAGTTCTCCAGTATTTCGACTAAGTGAAACCTATGATGTATGTTGTATATGATTTGAAAATTTTATTTTTTGATAGCTTCCGTTTGTATGTAAACATGACGATGATCTTAAATGTTTTAGTGATATATCTGTTGTATTTATTTATTTCCAGGCTTTAATCTCCAAATCAAAATGTCATTATCGTAACTTTTTTGAATCATTGCGTCAGTTCGTTCATGATGATAGCGCAAACGTTTATTTTACCGATTATCAAGAGAAATTGCATCGAATTCATCCACCCGGTCTCCCGTTTATTGCAGTCGGGGATAAGACACAACTGATACATTTAGAATTGAAGCATCCTGATTGGGTAAATGCTTCTACATTGCCATTTTCAACTGTACCAGATACACAGAATTCGAACAGTGGTTGTTTGGTTAACTTTTGGAAGTGTCGTCAATTAGCTGAACTTGTTGAATATTATTTGTCTTTTCAACAAACTCCGTATAATTTCTCCATAAATAAGTCTATCCGCGTAAGTTCTTAATAGATGCTGGTTAATATATATATATATATATATATATATATATATATATATATATATATATATATATATATATACGTTCTTTTATAAATCTCAGATAAGTGTTCACTTGTGTAAGTGACCACTACAGTTACCAACCTCACGAACATTCCTGCTCATCACTATCTGTAACTTTTCTCATTGTAAACTCTCAGTGTCCTTATGTTAAATATATTGTAACCTACAAAGCTTTTCTAACTCTACTGATTATTTAAATTAACCAAATGTTATCCCTTGTTTGCTAGAACCTTAATTCTCACTGGGAGTAAAAGCTTTCAGTATTATAATTTTTTCGTCAAATTGAACAACAGGTCAAATTATCATGGACTTTTTTATTTCGACACTTTGTATGTGAAGAAAAATCTTCATAAGAGTAGTTATGCATTTGATATGTAGCCTAGTCATTTGATTTGATTCGTATAACTAATCTTTAGTTCTCTATCTACTTGAAATATTAGATTATCGTTATTTGGTAACCGTGTTTTATCACTGAGTATCGATAGTACTAATTCATATGGTATTCCCTTAGTGTTTTCTCCCAAATCTTTAATATTTTCTGTTCTTTTATTAACTTGGGTAAATAATTTGGAGGTTTGGTGAGTTTGGTAGATATCAGAGTCATCTATAAATAAATGAATAAATATATATACCTTATTACTAATTCTTGAATATTCGTTTGGTTTTTAATACAGGGTTTCCTAGAGACATTAAACCCATTGAATACATGGGGTGTTGATAAAGAGAATTTATTTGACGATATTATGTATGAAAAATCTTTGAAAATTCAGCCTAAGCAATCTGATTCATTTTGTACAGTAAGTTCACTTTTTAAGTTACCAGTACGCTTAAAAACACGAATAACTCACATGTAATATAGGGTACATAATGTTAGGTACACTACTCAGTGTTAGTACTCATCATTTTATCGATATCTATATTGTTCAATCATTTACTTTGATTTATTTTGTCTCTCTTAATTCAATACAATATCTTCTGAGATATAACGTCATTATGGTTTCGTTTGAAATGGTGATCAAGATTTATATAGATTTTGCGAGAATATTTATATGCTTTTTATGATTATGATAAACTGACAATTCATTTTTGTCTCTCTAGTTATCTATTATGACTCATATTTTGTTTTTACTTACTGTTTACTATGTATGTTGTAAAATGAAAAAAACTTTTTTAAAGCTATTAATAGAATTTTAGAATCTGAGCGTTTAGGTTTCTTTATTTATTGGCAGTTATTAATAGAATTTATTTGGAACGTTGATCGATTTGATGATACTTTCTCCCTGAGATTTTAATACTGACAATACTCAGTGCTGTTGTCAAGACCTACTATTTGATTATTTGACCCACAAGTAAATTATTGTCTGTATTGATTATTAAACGGTTTAAGGGAAGACAAAGAGTATATACACCTACACCATAGTGGCCGATTCTTAGCCATGTCACACGGAGTCTCTAACGATTGTCTACGATAGTCACGCGTACCCCAGCCAAGTAGTCTGCATCTACCAACATGGCTCAGACCGGAAGCTAGCGGCTTTATGGACTGATGGCATGTTTTGGTTTGGCCGCCTCGAACTTCCATCCGTCTCCTACACTAGTCAGCATTGCTCACCGTGGTAATCGGTAACTGGGCATACGTAATGAGTGGTCCAACCATCTCAGTCGATGAATATTCACAACCACCATTCCCTAATATTCTGCACCTAACCTCACTATTACTTATCCGGAGATCCCTGAAGATGCGGGCAATATTTCTGAGATATCTGTGATCAAATACTAGTAACTTACGAATATCCTCTACTCCTAATGGCCACGTTTCGCAGTCGTAAATTAGAACAGAACTAAATGCTGCACAGTATACTCGTCCCTTAATTGATAGACGAACATATCGCCTTTGCCATAGGTGACGTAAGTTGGCAAAAGCCAAACGAGCTTTTGGAATCCGAGTAGAGATTTCGTCAGACACCAACCGATTATGACTAATCAGACTTCTAATATAAGTGAGAATGTCGGTGCGATTGACTACTTTACTCCCTATCCTTAGTTCAGGCGTTGACACAGGTTTGTCCTGAAGCAACAGTTTTCATTGAAACGGGGTGAAGCTCTAGAACAAATTTAAACGTAGTTGTTTAATATCGAGATATTATCATTTAGTCATTCAAGGAGAGAGTGAATTCCCTGTAACTGATTAATAGAAAAAATATCATTGTATTTTCTGCAATATAACTGTCGTTTGAATGTGACCTTCATACCGTGATAAATTTTGTAATTTATCACATGTCTTTATTTTTTCCACACAAACTTATCAAATCTCTAATTTCAGGTATCCCGTGAACGTAATCTAAAGCCTGTAGAAATAAAAATCGCAGCTGCATTAAATCTTGTTCAACCAGATCCCAAGTTAACTGCTGAATCTCGGGAGTTTCGTAGTCTTCTTCAGATGATTTCTACTGTTACAAACCGTTCATCAACCCTAACTTCAACATCCGAGAATCAATTTGTGAAAGAGTTTTCTATTATACCTGATAAAGCTGTTGAGCAGACAAATGATAAGTCAAATACAGTTGCATCCTTAACATTAAATGACCCTTTGTCATCTCTTCGAAATTCTAATGATAATTCATCTCTAATGTCTGATACTGACAAACGTTCAAGTCATTTGAAGCCCTTTTTAATGAGTGAGCTATCAGATTACATTATCTTTAAGTTCATTAGGTTTATTGAATATTTTGAATTGATTAGTTTCTAAATAATAATTTTCTCAACATTTTAATACTTAATTTGTAATTTAAGATCACCTAAATATTTCTATTCCTAGGGAACTTAATTTGGGAATTTACCTTGAAACAAAATGTTTAAATCACTAACTTTTGTTTCCAACTGACAATTCACATTCACTATGGGATGTTATCTATCCTTAAATTATAAATCTTCCGGCAAATATTTTTTTGATAAAATTATAATAATTAATGAAATATTTATATATATTAATATACGTGGTACTTGAATGGTTAGGTACAGACTTTCTAATCTCTTTATAATTTCCAGAAATATTTTATCCTGAAGGGGCAAATAAAAGTAGGAAAGTCTGAAACGAGCTTCACTTTCAAGTTTAGTATGTGTGTAGAAAATAAAGATATTTATAGTATTTTATATGGCCTTGTGCTATTAGACACCTGTGGTTAGTTACAAAATCAGTAATCGTCCAATCAAATTATGACACAATTTGTCGTTTTCTAAAATTCCTTTAAAAGTGTAGATCTTGCTGATTGGCCCAAAGTATTTTCAGCATTGTTCGAACGTTTGAAGACTATTTTTCGAAGAAATATTGTAGGCTGTCAATATATGATTAGTTATTAATGCTATTAGAAACAAAAGAATATATTTTCCTATATCATTACATAGGAAAACATATTCATCAGTTGAGATGGCTGGGACACGTGTTACGTATGCCCAACGACCGACTGCCTCGACGTGCGATGTTCAATGGTATAGGAGTAGGTTGGAAGAAATCTAGGGGCGGCCAGACCAAAACATGGCACAAATCCATGAAGTCACTGACAAGTGGACTGAGTCATGTTGGTAGGTGTAGAATACCTGGTTGGGGACCGCGAGATGATAGCAACCGATGGTTAGAGATCCTGAATGACATGGCTCAAAATCGTTTGCGATGGCGCAGGTGTATCCACTCTTTGTGTTCTCCCAAATTTTCTGAATTCTTTATGTCCCTTTTTTCGTCTTCCCAAATTTATTTCACTGTGTTATACTCTTTAAATAACGTCTCCAAGCCCTAATCTTTCCGATTACTGCTTATACTCTTACTACCTCTACCACTACGGGATTTGAATCGACAACTGCATCTTTGTGCTAATGTGGTATGGCAACCCGAACTGATGTACGTACGTACGTACGAAGTTCTACGTTGTTATTGACTGACTGACTGGTATCATCACATGTTAATGAATTAGTTTAAATTGTTACTTTTGTTATATTTTACGTTATTCATATATTTGAATAAGTTCAAATGATATTTTGTTGTTATTTCACTACGTTATCAATCAAATTGTACCTGAAGACACCTGTACTACTACTTCATCGTCATCACCTGAAACATTTCTTCACAATGATAGTTCTCAATTTACATCAGTCGATAATCTTCCCGTTAATGCTCATGTAAAAGGTGATAATGCACAAACTGTGTGCCTTTCTTCCCCACCGCCTCTACCTCCTCGAATTAGTAGGTCAATTCAGCGAAATGCGCATTCAGAACAGTTTAGCAATCCAATCGCAGCATTTCAAGAATCCTCTCATAGTGTGTCTAACTCCACGTTTTCAAATATCAGAGGTACGTTTATTAATATGATAAATGATCTCTTCTTACATTGTTCATGCCTATGGGATTTTGCAAATGCTAAATTTTCGATGAGATTGGGATTTTAAAAGGGATATACACGTGTGTTTAGAATGAACAGAATTGTGTTTCCTCATGTGATTGCAAAATTTCATTCAGCAGTCAGACAAATCTTTAGATAAAAAAGTGATTTTTTCTGGTTGTCGGTTTTTAGAAAGGTTCTTTTTTAAGGTGTGGAATTGCTAACCCCATGTTCAACATTCCCTCTTTATCTGAGTTTGGGACCGGTTGTAACTCAAGAAGGACTCTATGTGAACGACCTTCAGATAGTCTGTAATAATTTGACATTTTATCCTCTAATATCGTCATATTGAGTTTAACAGTGAAAGGAATTCGCATTTTCTGCATAAAATATCAAATGTTTAGGTTTCTGTCATCCTCTTTAATAACAAAAAGTTAAGGTTTTTAAAATTTTCATGGTTTATGAACTTGTTTGATAGACACTGTCAAATGAAATGTTTAGGTAAACGTTTACATTAAGTACTTATTGATGAAAGCACTTAGTTCTCATTTGGTAACGACTACTTTTGATCTATTTTCTATCAGTTTTAAGTATTGTTGAACAAGCTAATAAATAAGTTTTTCTACCATTCTAGTTGTTGCTAAATGATCCTAATTTATCTTGCTATTCATTTTGTTTGGTCAGAAGTATTGTCTACAAAGGATTCATCTTCGATTACTTTCAGCGTACCGATGTCGTCCAATATATAGCGACCTAATAACTTTAATCATACATAGATATCTTAAGTTGATGATGCAATTAAATTGTTTCTCATAAGAGTGTGAAGTTAAAATAATATTACACAACTCTGAAAAAAGTGATCCTTCCACATTACACATGAACTATAATCATACGAATTGTTTTCCATTATTTGTAGCGTTCAAAAAAAATGACGTATTCAATCAAATGATTATTTTTATTTTTATCAGTGCTATGGTTGCACGATGCATATAATCTAACTGCAGTTTACACTTATTCGACAGGTGCGGATAACCAGACATTATTGACACATACACACTTGGATAGGAAGTTGCACAACTCACAAGCTTACTATTAATATACATGTTTATATCCGTTCAGGGTCATTTTCTTGATAGTAGCTTGATAACATAAGCTCTTACCATCCAACCATAAGTAAATTAACTAGCTATATATTAAAAATGGTAACATTTTGATTTCGTTCAAACACTTAGAGATATTTACCGCGTTTACAGTTTCCTTCGAACTGGTAAAAGAAGGGGAATAGCAACTATGAAAATTACGTAGCTTGTACAGGTGAACCAGGGATCATCAAATATTTCTTTATCTTATAGTCGATATCACAAACTGGTTTCAGTTAAACAACATTAAAAACAAAGGAAATTACTGGACATCTGTTTCGTCCTGGTGTGGGACTTTTCGGGAGTGTCCATTCAAGACCTCACTACTAGCTATCCAGTGCTTCCTGATTTTCAGTGATTGTCTGACTAAGACCTGTCTATGATATTAACTATGAGGTTGCCAAAGTGATCTTTATAAACCCCTGTAATATTTTTGTTATTCATCTGTCTTTGTGGTCTTGGTACTAAAATGTATCAATTGCTTTGCTTATCCAAACTAAAGTTATAGTAATGTTAATAGACATTTAATGAACATAGATACTGGTGCAACTGATCACCAAAATAAATATACACCATACAAATGGGGAAATGAAATTTTAAGGAGAAAAATTGCTTGAATGAAAATATCTAATGGAGAACAGTATATATAGGGAGATACTGTTAAGTTTTAAGATACAAACAGGAAGACTCATTGAAGATTGCAAAAGAACTACAGCATGCTCTCTTCTGGTTTCTATTCTGAGCTATGTTTGATAATGTCTCAAGACATTGAGTTTCACAATCCCTGTGATCCCAACCAGAAAGTCGTAATGGATCAACACTGACCAGTTCAATACAGCTTTATTTCACTCTACGGCATTATGTCGTAAACTGAACACCTTCGCTTTTTCCATTCTGTCTGTGTCAGCAAACAATCAATGAAGTGAAAGGGGATAGGGTAGTATTCGTAATACCTGTCCTGGTCGAAACAGCTGGTGCTTTTAGATAGTGCTATTAATTGAGTTGTCTTCAATGTATCCGACCATATATTTGCTACAACTCAATCGGTATCTTGAAAAAAATGGATTCAGTGACTTGGATATTTGTTTGTAATATCTTATGTTTCTGAAGAAAATATCGATAGTGTAGTTTATGTTTGTTCATTTGAAAAATTGACAAATGTATAAACATTCTTCGTCCTGATATCACATTCTACTTCTAGTAGGAAATACATTTTATATCAAAACTATATTCTTGTATTGTATAACTATTTTTTTGCTTATTTACATGATTGATAATAAACAGTCACGCTCTGAATGTATTTCCTAATACCAAAGTCTAAAATGAATCTCTAGTTTTATCATAGACATGTACATATAGTTGCAATATATTCGAGCTTTTTTTAAGCTCTCAGGTTTATTTTTACTAAGAGTAGTTTCTTTTTACTACTAATATTTTTTACCTATATTATTGTAGATATGTCACCTGCAGAGTGCCTTCCAACCAACGTTACCATGACTGCTACTCACGGTGACGTTTCGCAGCTGCCATTAGATATCTCCTTGGGATTAGAAAATTCATCTGCAATCAATACGTCAGCTACATGTGACGATGTTGGTCCTCCCCCAAGACCATCTCATCGTAGATTAACCTCTTTATCGTCTATAACAGGTGAAAAAAGTCCCTTTTGGTCGAATCTAGTCACCAAAACGTCAGGTAATTTAACGTTTTGTGAATGATGAAATTTTAATTGACTTTTCCTGGATAAAGATTGTTATATTTTTTCAGGTACCTAGTTTAATAAAATAAAAAAAATTCTTCGAGTTCTGAATATTAGTGACTACATTTTCTTTCATTTCGTATTCTTTTGTGCTAAGATCATTCAACAAACATCAGAGAAAATAACTGTCTAATTGTAGACTGTTATCATGGATATCCCTTTGAAAAATGATTTAATTTAATTTACTACTTATGAGTATACATGAATATTCTATGGAAAATGTGTTAAGGGACATCAAAATCGTATACACTGTACAGTTTCGTTTTTTTTGTTGTAATCAATCATCCAGTTTATTAGATGAAACAGTTGGAGAAAACTTTGTTTCTTACTAAAGTACTAAATTAAATGCTGAAATAAATTCATTCTCATAATGACTTTTAAAGACCATAGTATAAGTAATAAGTTGTAGCTAGTATAAATATTACACGAAAAATGTTTATTAATAATTAAACATACAACTCTAAAAGTATACATTACTTAGCTTTTTTGTGCAGAAAAAAAAGACATCTATATATCCGAAATCTAATTGGGATTATTAATATCTCAGTAGTTGAGATCATGAGTCAATTGAAAACCTGGAATCACTGGACGGCCGTTTCGTCCTATTGTGGGACTCCTCAGCAGTGCGCGTTATTATTATGTAGACAGTTTCTATTTCTAAAATTTTCCTGTATATCTATCATCATTACAACATGTTATATTATGCTTTTACATTTTCATTCATGAGCTGTAAGTTTTCTTTCTTTATGTATACATTTCCCCGTAACTGTTAACATACTCCATCGATTTCTCTTTTTAATTTTTTAATCCCACAGATAACAATAATATCAGTACAAATAACTCAACAGATAATGTATCAAATCCGCCTATTCTGCCTCCTCGTATTCATCATCATGGTGGAGAAGTAAATTCATCACGATTATTTAAAAATAATAGTCCAATAATTCAAGACAATAATAATACTTCAAAAGAAGATAGTTTATGTATAAATGCTGGATTAACAAATGTATCTCATATTTTACCACATAATTTAACAAACATAAATCGTTCTTTATCATCTCCATCACCACCTCCATTACCTCCGAAAAAATCAACCACTCCAAATATCTAAAAAAAAAATATGTAAATATTATTTTGTTTTACTCTGTAACACTAATTTTTTTTCTTGTATAGATTGTCATATTTTTTTGCATTCAATACTACTTATTACTTACTATTTTCACTCATAATAGATGTAATTAAATCACTTTTTTTGACATAATTCAAGGATATATATATATATATATTCCACTTATATAAAAAACAAACATATTTTTTTGTAGCGAATCTTAATGAATTCTCTTTTCATTACCTTTTGTACATAATGCATATGTGTATTTCCATTATATTACACTTTGTAATACTTCTGTGTATTCGTTTACTTTCGGATTTCAAGTTATTGTATTTTTATTTCTGTAAAAAAAAAATCAATATATAATAAGTTTCTCATCTAACCTCCATTGTTAATAGTGTCCGGTATAATTAATTTCTGCCATCTCTTCATTTCCGTCTTGTTTTTTTTTCACTTTCAACTTTAATTTTTATGTAATAAATGAGTTACATCAATATGACAGTTATGAACTACATGTATATCCGTCTGTGAAAGTGTTCTTATAAATTCACACTAACTAAAGGTGGATTTACTTACTACTCTCTTGTTAAGATTTACACTGGTTAATGTAACCACTATATATGTATAATTATTGTAAACTAGTTTGCTTGAATAAATCATTATTCTCGTTTTGTCTGTTGTTATTATTTAGTATACTTTATATTCTTTTCGAAGCATTCAAACAAAACTTTTAAATGTACACCTTTCTTTGTTTGTTTTTACTCAGAATTGACACGATGATTTTGTAGTACAAATAAAGTATGTTTTACACATCTTGTAAGAATAGCATGGTGTAAAGTGAGATTAATGATAATAGCATTTTTAAACTCTTCATGAAACATATACATATCCCACTCTATAATTCACATAATCAACTGTTCTTCGTATTCTTCATCTCATTGCATCTAAATTACATTCTGAATGTGAATTAACACAGTCACGTTTTGTTGCTAGGTCTGTAGTTAATTAAATTAATTAATTTGTCTTACTAACATCAGCTGGTGGTTAAAAAAGTTGCTTGAATTAGGTATCATTCAACAGATTTCTGTCAATTGACAGATAATTCCCATATTAAAAACACGAAGTTCAGCGAAGTGATCTTTTCCACCGAATTTGTTATTAAGCTGTACAATCATATATATATGAAAATTTTTTGTCAAACTACTAATTCCGTGAGGAAACGTGACCAGGGAATAACCAAGGTGATGCAATAGGAAGATTATAATACTAGATTACGCAATACTAATAATAACAATAGACTTAATAAGTTAGTAACCGATTATAACGTGAATGTAGTAAGGTGACTTAAATGTTTTTGCTACAATAACTGTAGGTAATTAAAGGTAATAGAGGTGCGAAATAAATGAACTGATATTATGAGCAATTATGAATAAAATAATGAGGATATGATATATAAGTAAACGGAGAAATGCAGTATTAATAATAATTAAGGCCAAGGTAACGATAACGATAGGACGTATTCCTTTTGTACACATAGTTCTGGCTTAACCTCATGGATGGTAAGAGCTTCGACTATTTTTAGGAGTTGGATACGAAGAAATTTAGGTAGATTTGGACGAATTGTATATAAAACCTTAAATCAAACTGTAGATCAGTAGAATGATTACAGTCGATTAGATGATCAAGTATGGAACTCCTAAGTGCATTCCACTCACCCTTGTAGAACCACACTGGGACATGTTCCCGTATTCGAGTTGAAAGCGAGCGCTAGCTACAGCCAATGTACCTTGCTCCAAAAGAGCAGGTGGGCTGGTACATGCGTATGGGGGTGACCAGTCGGGAAAGCTTATCTTCTATGACGCGAGTGGAAAACATAATGTCTGGCAGCAGAACGTGGGAGAAGATCAAGAAAGGAAGAGCGGGAACACAGTGCCATTTGTAAGAAAACGCATGAACAATGAAATGTGAGACAATGGATTGATGTTTGCAACAGGAACAGTCCGGTTTGATATGATGAATTGATATTTTGCAAATTAACGATTTACTATATGATTTTTCTATTTTACGGAGTAACTCTGTAATTCTGTGGTAAATACAATTCGATTGTCCCCACCCGTGTCCTGTTCACTGTAATACCAGCTGCTTCATATCAAACTTGAACTGTAAGTACCGACGAATCGACCGCCGCATAATTCTTATAGGTTTTCTGTCGTTGGTAATGTGATAGAGTATCACTCAAAAAGACGGTTAACACAGTGTTATTACAGTCAAATAAGAGGTATTTTATCGGACAGTATAAAAATTGTAGGTTCTTGTATCTAAATCCAGGCTGGTATAAACGTCTACCCTGGTAACTCAATTGAGTTTAAAACAGATCGAGCAATATGTGGGAATTACTTACTTACTTACGCCTGTTACCCCTTGTGGAAGAGCATAGACCGCCCACCAGCATTCTCCATCCAACTCTCTCCTGGACAGTCCTTTCCAGTTGCTATTCATCCTTTTCACGTTTGCATCCGATTCCCGACTCAGTATGTTCTTTCGTCTTCCTCTTCTCCGTTTCCCCTCAGGGTTCAGATTTAGCTCTCGCTCCGTGATGCAGTTTGATAATTTCAGTCATGTATGTCTCATCCACTTCCAACGCCTTTTCCTAATTTCGTCTTCAGTTAGAAGCTGGTTTGTTCTCTGTCATAGTAGGTTGTTGCTGATGGTATCCAGTCAACGGATATTGAGTACCTTGCGTAAATAACTGTTTATAAATACCCTTACTTTTTTGATGATATTTGTGGTGTTTCTTCAAGTTTCAGTTCCGTCGCCCTTCTAAGGCTACTGCCGGTCTCCAACTCGGGTAAAACAGGAGAGTTGGGCATGAAGTCAGCAACCCCATTCCGTAAAAAATAACCTTGCTAAAAAATACGCTAACTAGTAAATGCGAAACTGTAGTAAAAACATGATATGTTCATAAACTTCGTTTGTTGTTCCTAACTCAGGCAATATAGATCTAAATTTACATCGAGATATCATTTGTTGTGCTAGATAATTAATTACGGGACAAAAAATTCAGTTTCAAATATGAATAAATACTGTTTAACAATTTTATTTCTTATTATTCAAGGTGACTGAATAGGCGTATTCGGAAAAGGATTGTTGATTTTCATCTGGAAATTTCTAACGAAATTATCTATCGAGAATACTTTTCCAAAATGTTCTATGAAAAGTTTTGTAACTTTAACGAGGAGAGATTTTCCGAAAATAATGTTCATTGAAAACTCCTTTGAACAGTAGTCTGATTTTTTTCTTTACTATGCTAGATAAATATGTCACTAAACTTTCTTTATATCGTAAATCTCAAAGAATACCTGGTGCGATCTCAATAAGAGCTCTAGTTATATACAACTATCCATGTGTTCATGGAGTAACATTTACCTCAGGACAACAAAGAGGTCCTTCCGATTATCCGATGTAGCGTTTGCCACAAAGTACACTTAGTCTTGTGGCACCATATCAATGTTATACAAGATGTTGTCAAGGAAGTTGGCATTACTATTTTTTGATTGTTCGGTATAACTGGATTCCGCTTATTTGATGTTCATAAATTCATTGTGACAATTAAATCAGCAGTCCAATTATTCTTTATTAATGCATTGATATATATGTTGTAACATCTCAAAATGTTGGTGATGACGTTTACTAACTTGCTACTGTGAGGATTCTTTGTTATTGTTCGTTTTGTGAATGGTATTGGATAATAACGTGTTTCTTCCGTTTTCACTTCAGCAGTGGACATCAGGCGTTATTCGGTGTTCGAAACTCCGTAAATTGGTCTAACAACATAAAACCCAAACCCGTAGTCAATTTAATAAATGTCGACATAGCATCTAAAATACTAGCTTCAATAAATATCGGGTGCCTAACAAATACTCGTGAATTGAAAACACGAGAAAATCAGGCTAGCTTCAGACTTGGTGGTGGCTGCATCGACCACATATTCACCATTCTTCAAGTTCTAGAACACAGGCATGCTTATCGACGTCCAACAATGGTGGTCTTTCTTGACTTAAAAGCAGCATTTGACTCCGTAGACCGAGAGCTTCTGCGACACTATCTGTCATTGAAAGGAGTACCTCAGAATTACATAAACCTTTTAAGGGCTCTTTACTCAAACACTGTCAGTCGGGTCAGAGCTTATGGCGAACCGTCATTTGAGTTTGAAACCTTAAGTGATGGCCAACAAGACTATCTACTATCTCCATTTTCGTCTAATTTGATCATAGACCTACTGCTGAAAATGATGTTCTGGTCGTCTGAATTTCAAGGAATTGATCTACCCGGAGGTCCACTTGTCGACTTGCAATACGTAGATGATTCAGTTCCCTTTGGTGAAGACGCTGATAAAATTCAGAGTCTTTTGGTTGCACTCATCAACAATGCCAGAATGTTTGGGATGCGATTTTCCCCCTTTCTAAATGCAAGTTGTTGCTTCAGGAATGGCCTGTGTCAACAATTGAACTAAAGGAATGAAGTAGTCGAACGCGTCGACAACTTCACTTATCTTGGAAGTCTGATCAGCCACAATCGTTTGGCTTCTGACGAAATCTCTACACGGATCCAAAAAGGTCGATTGGTTTTTGCCAACCTATGGCAAATGTGAGATATCCATCAATTAAGGGACGAGTATACTGTGCAGTATTTCGTTCTGTTCTAGTTTACGGCTACTGATATTTGACCACAGATGTCTTAGAAATATTGCTCGCATCTTCTGGGATCCCCGGGTAAGTAATAGCGAAGTTAGACGCATAATATTAGGAAATGGTGGTAAATCAGTTGATGAGGTTGTGAATATTAATCGACTGAGATGGTCGGGCCAGGTTTTACGTATGCTCAACCACCGATTACCACGGCGAGCAATGTTGACTAGTGTTGGAGACGAATGGAAGAAAGTTAGGGGTGGCATTAGTCCATAAAGTCACTAACTTCTGATCTGAGCCATGTTGGTAGAC